TTGACTTAATGCAGGATTGCCCTTGTTGTTCGGGTGAACAACTGATTTCTTAGAGTTTTAAAGGGTAAAAAAGCAGTCCTGATTACTTTTCTGAGCTTTACCAAAACTTTCCTCAGCTTTTCCCAAACTTTTCACTTGTGTTTTTGATGCATGGCCCCTGGAGAGAGGGGGCATCATTCCTCGGGGAGACAACTACCATCCAGATACCTGTTCCTGAGCCGATGTCTAGGTTCCCTTCATCATCAGTGAACAGTGAATGATCCCTCAAAGGGTGGTTCCTCTCCTCCTGTGGAAAGTCCTGTCTCCCTGGAAAGGTTTGATGAAGACACTGAAGTGTCCTTTTTTTTCCCTTTGAATCTAGAAGACTCAAGAGCAATTTGTAGGTGTCTCTCTTGCTCTGTGTCACTACTTAAGCAAGGTGAGATGTGTCAGACTTGGGTGTGTAAATAGTCCAGTATGCATAGAAAGTAATGTCATTTCTGCTGTCATACTTCTGCTCAGTATTTCCTGCTGATACAGCCAAGAGAGTCTGCATCTGAGCTGCAGCAGCTTTTGTAGATCAGATTTCTGCTGTAGCCTTTTAAGCCCTTTCAGTGTTTCCAGGATAGAGCCCTTCAGAGTCTTCGATTTTTATCAGTGACTCAGATGGCTGTTTAACTGAACTGTCCTTATTATATTTGCCATTGCCACAGTTTTGTTGCTATTTGTGAAAATTATCATCCTCTTTTCCTGTTTGGTTTTTGGTGTTTTTGTTTTGTTTTGTTTTGTTTTTCCCCTAAAAATGCAAAATGAACTCACTTTCCAAAAAGAGAGAGAAATCAGAAGTCCATATATCCATGTCAGATTGTTCAGTACCTTTACAAGCTGAGCAAGTTATTGCCTTACTAGATTTATTTAACAAGTCCTGCTTAAACATCCCCCAACAATATTAATTAGCATTAGTAATAGTCCCAGTGTTTGAATCCTGCACCATTCCTTCAATATTCTGATACCAGTGACAGACTAGAGAACAGTCATGAACAGGCAGAGTAATTTAGGCTGAAAGTACCCCTGGAGGTCTCTGGTCCAAGCCGTCACTCAAAGTATGACTGGCTTAAAACAGCCACTGCATCTAAGATAGTATTTTATATTGGCTGATTCCCCTCGATCTTATAAATGTGCACTTTATTTGCAATACTAATTTGTTTAGGGTTCTGTTTCCAAGCACTGGGCTTAGTTCTGACTATGCCAAGAGGGCCTTCTGCTAGAAGGCTTCTCATGATACTTTCTCTCAACATATTTGTTTGTAGAAGTTGTTGCTTTGGGTCTCCTCCTCCTTATTAAGTGAAGTAGATTGAGCCTTTTTCATCTTTTGCAGTAAATCATGTCAGCTGGAGAGGCATTGGAGAGCTCCAGAGCTGTCTTTGGTAGAGCTCCGAGTACCTCCATGGATGGAGGTCCCACAGCCTCTCTGGATCCCTGTGCCAGTATTTGACCAGTCTCACGGTGTTGGGGTGAAGTCCTAATATCTACTTGGAATTTTTCTTCTTGCAGCTTGTATCTTTTGTTTCTTTCACTGTGTACCTCAGAAGAGAGCCTGACTGTCTTCTCTACACCATCCTGTTCGGTAGCTGCAAGCAGCAAAGTCTTTGTCATCTCTTCTTCAGGCTGAGTAAACCCAGTTCCCTCAGTGTCTCCTTATATGTCTGCTGCTTTTGCCCATGGCCATTCTGGTGGCCTCTGCTGGACTCAGCCCAGTACATCTCTGTCTTTTTTGTATTGGGCATTCCCAAACTACACACTGCATTTTAGGTGGCCTCATGAGAACTAGAGAGGAAGGCTCTCCTCCCTCAACCTGCTGGCTGCACACTTGCTGACACAACGCTATGGTTGGCCTTCTCAGCCAGAAGAACACAGTTCTCCAAGACTCCCCAGGTCCTTTTTGTGAAGCTGCTTTCTAGTCACCATTCCTAGCCTGTCCTGCTGCCACAGGAACCAGACTAGCACTTCATTTTGCTGAGGCTGCTGTCTGCCCTTTCTCCAGCTTGTCAAGATCCTTCTGAGTAGCAGCCCTGTGCTCCAACATATCATCTGTGCTTTCCCCCACCTCCCAGTCTAGTATCATCCACAAACTTGCTGAGAGTGTTCTACATCCACCTGTGTTGTTAATAAAGATATGAACATCATCAACTCCTGAGGGACCATTTCATTCATACATTTAATTACTGAGTTCAATTTTCTGCTTCATTCAAAGATTTGAGTGTTTCCTCTTAAATCAAGTTCTCCTCTGGGCCTTTGAGCAGCCTCTGACAGCCACAGAGGAGATCAGTGACTCAGTCCCAACATCCCTCTCCTGGTCTTTATGACCTGTGGGTCAATGTAGCCAGACGGTCTAAATCCTGGCCCATGGTCCACACCGAGCTCTTCACCATGTTATTAGCCATGGCCTAGGCTCTTTAGGAACCAACTTTAGGAGTATGGTTTGGTGGAGCAACAAGATGGGTGGTTCATCAGCAATACTGGGTCCTTTCCTAGGGATCTGTGCTCATAACCCTCTTCCTTCCTGGTGGAGACTGCATTGGTCCACCCCACATCATCTCCTGGGGTGATTGTTTCTTCTGTCTGCAGAAGCCCACTGTCTTCAAGGCAAGGTCACCTCTCTGCACCCAGTTGCTCACTGAGCTTGAGCCTCTACTGGCCTCCATGGTGGGGCTTACCCAGGGTGCTGAATGTATGGAGGGGGATGTCATACTCCATTCAGGTATCAGCTGATCCTGCAGGAATATTTGGGATATAGAAGGGGAGGGAGGAAAGGGAGGAGCTACCCCTCTGCCCACCCACCTGTGGAGGCAGCTCTCCATTTCTCACCCCTTCCCACAAAGGGGGCTGTGGGACTGGTCCCACTGGCAGAGCTTGCTGAGCCACAGCGATCTCTGGTGAGGAACCTGTCGCTTGGGAGACAGAACCACTCTGGCTTGTGTGACACTTGCGGGCCACACACAGCCTTCTCCCCTGAGCTCTGCGGGAGCTGCGGCCTGGAACCAGCACTGTGCCCTGCCTGCCTCACGCTCAGCCAGCTCTGGCTTTTCAAGGGTGGCTGATGCCAGGTTAACCATTAACTCCCTGTGCTGAGGCCTGCTGGGGACAGGGCTTTGGTTTTGGGCCACTGTGAAGCCGCTCGCTTTGGCCTTTCCTACGCCGCTCTGGTGACATTTCTTGATGGGATCTGGCCAGGGCCTGCACAGCCATTCCTGTCAGCAGACAGCCGCGTGGCCTTCACGGTCTGTGAGCAGTGAGAGGGAGAGTGGCCCAGGAGCGGGATGTGGTCATGGTGGTGAGGGAGGGGACAGGCGTGTGGCCAAGGCCAGTTGCACTGCCGTGCACGGGGTGCTGAGGTTCCTCTCCGGGCGCGTTGCAGTACTCCCTTCATCTGCCTGAGGTGCGTGAGACTAAGCAAACAGGTTGGTGCCCCCCCTGGAGAGGAGGAGGTCCCCTGGGAGAGGGGTGGCTGGGTGCCCGGCGCACACCCGGTGCCTGGTGTGTGTGGCGAGTGCCTGCTGGCAGCCCAGGCCCCTGCCCAGCAGGAAATGAATCAGCTTCAAAGGCTGGTCGGGGCACCACAGTCTCCCTTACCACATTGTTTCCTCCTCACATCCTGCTCTGTGCTGGGAGCTCCACAAAAATGCTGGAGGCCAAGTCCTGCTTCAGGACGGCCTGAGCAAGGGTATGGGTCAAAGAGCTGCAGTCACCCTCCTCCTCTCAATTTTGCAGTAGCCCTCGCACAGGATGGGGACAATGCTAATACCAAGTGCCAAAGAGGGACTTCAGATCTTCCCAGCAGCCATTCTGGCCTGCTCAGTGCCACTCTCCCTCCCCCCCCCCCCCCCCCCTCATTTTCAGGGCACTTTCAATCTTTCTTTTTTTTTTTTTTTGTTTTTTATTTCTCCCCTTCCTCCCCCGGTGGAGAGTCCGAAAAATACGGTCGGCGTTTCCCGGTTTTCGTGGGGGGTCCCAGGTGCCCGGGGGGTTCCTAAGGTGAGGAACGCGATTTTCCGAGGGGGAGGGGGGAGGGAGGCGTTTGGGGAGCCCCAAAACTTCGGGGGGGGGTCGTAGAAAATGGAGGGCGGGGGAAACGAAAGCAATCCCGGCTGCCCCCCTGGTAAAAGCCCCTCCCCCCCCCCCCCCCCCCGCCAAGCACTATTTAAAAAAAAGCCCTGTCACCGCTGAGCTGGGAAGAGATCTACATTTAGTGTGTCAAAGTGTGCCTGTGTGTTATAATCGCTGCTCGTTGTCAGCAGTAGCAAGGAGGAGAGGCATAAGCGTTTGCAACTGCTCATCTCCTGTGAGTGGGTGGCTGCAACAGGGGAGAAACTCCACTGGCACAGTGTTCTTGGGATGTGACTACAACCCAGCTGAAGATTTCTGCTGAGCAGTCCGGGCTGCAGGAGAGATGCTGGCAGTGACAGGAAGTGCTGACTGGCAGCAGCTCTCACCCCCTCCGACTTGCCAGTCGGGAGTGTGGGAGCTCAGCCCCTCCTCAGTGGCCACCAAATGGCTGGGGGTTGCATTTTCTAGTTTCTAGGTCTTGCTTATGGTTCTTGAATCTTTGTCTCTAGGGCATCTTCAGGAGACTGGTGCAAGAGGGATGTCTGCTGTGAGGGCATGTCCATGAATGGGGGTCCGAGTCCTGCATGTACCTGAACCTCCACAGCCTGAGAGTTTGCACGTGGGCAGCTTGTGCCGACTGCTGAGCGCTGGTGCAAAGGCCCATCCATTGTGCGCCCCGGCAGAGGACGGACCTTCCTCCTCTCAGCTATTGGGAGCAGGCTGTTTTTGGAAACCCTGTATAACCAAAGTAAATGGGCTGTAGCTCCTCTCTGCAGTTTCATTTCTCCTAATTTAGTACTCAGAAATGTGTTTAATTAAAAAGTTATTTATATAAACATTTATAGTCCAACTTATACAGTGAGAATATTTATATTTTGAGCTCTTATATTGATTTTAAGCATTTTTTCCTTCAGGGTGAGATTGCCTCTGTTCAAAGAAACAGTAACGTACCAGGACTACGCAAGGTGTTAAAGACCACAGCATTCACCTAGACTAAGCAAAGCTTTCACCTAAAAAGACTAAAAAAAACATGGCAGAATTTACAGGTTACAAGGAAACCTCAAATCGGCACCTACGATTCAAATTGCAGAGTCTTAGTCGCCGCCTTGATGAACTGGAGGAAGCAACCAAAAATCTGCAGAAAGCAGAGGATGAGCTGCTTGACCTCCAAGACAAAGTTATCCAGGCAGAAGGCAGCAACTCCAGCATGCTGGCTGACATCGAAGCCCTGCGGAAAAGAGTGCTGAAGATTGAAGGCAAGGATGAAGAAATTAGGAAGGCTGAAGAGCTTTGCCGGTTAATGAAAGAAAAACTTGAAGAGGAAGAGAGCCTCACCAGAGAGTTGAAGTCAGAAATCGAACACCTTCAGAGGAGAATGGCAGAGCTGGAGAAGCTGGAGGAGGCCTTTGGCAGGAGCAAGAACGACTGTACGCAGCTGTGTCTTAGCCTTAATGAGGAAAAGAACTTGACCAAAAAGATATCTTCGGAATTAGAAATACTTAGAGTGAAAGTGAAAGAACTGGAAGCATCTGAGGACAGGCTGGATAAAACTGAGCAGAGCTTAACAGGTGAATTAGAAAAACTGAAATCCTTGGCACTGAGCTTTATCACTGAAAGAAAACATTTTAATGAAAGAGAAAAGCAGAATGAAAAAATTATCCAGGAGCTAACACAGAGACTAGAACAAAACAATAAACTAAATAGGGCAGATCAAACTAGAAATGCATCCAACTTGCTAGAAAGGTCATCAAATAATCTCCTGGACAGAAATGATTTGAGAATTGAGGATGACTTGACTTCTGCATTGCCCTCTAAGGAGACCAGAAGGAAGGGAAGTGTGGATTACCTGAAACATGTAGAAAATGAAACTAGGAATAAATCAGAAAACCAAAAGAATCAAAATCAGGAAGACAACAAAGTGAAAGATCTCACTCAAGAAATTGAGAAACTTAAAACTCAGATCAAACGTTTTGAATCTTTAGAGGAAGAACTTAAAAAAATGAGAGCCAAAAACAATGACCTGCAAGACAGTTACTTAAGTGAACAGAATAAAAATAAACTCTTAACAGGTCAGCTAGAAGAAATAAAAATGCAAATAAAGAAACAGAAAGATCTGGAGAATGGAGAGGTCGAAAATGAAGATTCAAGCTTTTTTAGCAGAGGAAAACATGACAGACCTAAATACCGAGGTGTCACAGTGGATTTGACAGCTGCCAAGCACAAGCCAAGGGAGCTCTCACCCCAGCAGCGCCGGGAAAGAACAAGGAACAGAGATTTCTCTGTCAGTAATGATAGCTACAGCCATGGTGGTAAACAGGTGCCCAGTCCAAGCTTAATGAACAGAAAAGCAGGAAAAGCATCTAGTGCATCTGCCCTTGCAGACAGTGCTGTGACAGATACGAAACGACTGGAAGAGAAATCCACTTTTTCTTCTGGTCAGAAGGAAGGCTGCATCACACAGAATGAGGGGAAGCGATCAAAAGAGCAGCCATCTGTCCTCAGCCGATACCCTCCTGCTGCGCAGGAGCAGAAATCTTGGAAATCACCTTCCAAACCTGTTGCTGACACAGGGCTGAGATCCAGGGCCGAAAAGCCATCTCAGGTGCTCCGTGGCAACAGCCAAACCAGTGCTGACACAAGGGATGAAAAGTCAAGCAAAGGAGAATCGGTGGCTTCTTTGGCCGAGAAGCTGAAAACAAGTCAGGCAGAAGTCAGTGACTGCTCAGGTGACATGCCGCTCACCAGGGGTAGTCACACCTCTTCCAATGGCACAGCTTCAGCACACAGGTACCACCTCTCCTCCCATGTGTCAGCATCGGACTCCACTGGCTCCAAACCAGAAGCAGTGAACACTTTTGCTGCATCACACAAACAGCCCTTGGAGGGGAGGGCTAAAAGAGCAATAATCTCCGAAGAAAAAGAATTTGCAAGCACATCACTTGAAAGTGTGAGGCCTTCAACACTAACAAAGCGTTCCCATCACTCCAGGAGTCAGGAAGACATTCTGCAGATTCTCTTGAATAAAGAAGACACAGAGCAGTCTTCAGCTTCAGCAACAGATTGTGTAAATGCTGGCTTAAAAACGGACTCCAAAGCCATCCAGAGTAACCAGGAAAAGCTTAATTCAGATGAAGAATTGGGACGAAGCAAAAAAACAATCACTCAGTTGGATTTTGAGACAAGAAAGAAAGCTGGTTCCAAGCAGTTCTCCAATTCCAGGGGAGTTTTTAGAGCATCACTTTTTGAAAATGACAAAAACACTGTAAATGATGAAGACTCTACCAGGTGTATAAAACCATCAGATGCCAGCACTGGAGAACTGAAATCCAGAAGGTCATTCAGCCCAAGAGAAGCTCTGAGATCCAAAGCTGTCATTAAACCTGCAATTGTTGAAAAGGATATGAAGGCAGTCATGGGAGGGACTGTTTCTGAGCCAGAGTCAGAAAAACAGAAGTCTGTTTTTAAAACGGTAACAAGTAAAATGACAAGCAGCATCACAATCTTCCCTTCTGAGCCAACAGGTCCAAGGACGAGTGCAGATACAGCAGCAAAGGAAAGGCATGTTACCACCAGCAACATCAGAGTTGCTCCAAATGAGCCTTCACCAATAACAAACAATCTCCCCACACCCTTCGAGATATCAATTAATAAAAGTGCTCTGAAATTATCTGAGACAGACAGATCTGGAGAGGCAGCACCAAGAAGTAAAGCAGAAACACTGGTCTCCAGAAGCAGCATTGTGATAAAGACTTCTGAACTCACAGAGAGGAACAGTGAGCCGCCTTCGGAGACAATTGGCTGGAAAAGCCGTGGCTCTTCAGATGCAGCTTCTTCTGAAACAAAACATGTCACTGTGAGAAGTTCCTGGAGAACAAGACAAGGCTTACATTCCCTGGACGACTCTCAAACCAAAGTGGAGAAAAGTGCAGCTTCCAGTACTACAAACACGTGTAGGTCTTCAGTGGACCTCTCAGAAATGGAAGGGAACAGCAGAAGAACAAACTCCCTGGAGCAGACCTCAGCAAGGACCAGTGCCACAGCTAATTCCTGGAGTGTCCCTGAACTGGGGTCCCGAAGGACCAAAAGTAACTTAAGTGCATCTGAACTGCTAACACGCAGGAGCTATGCAAGTGATCGTACAGTAGCTTCTGCTTGGCACCGGAGCACACTACCTGTAAGTATCCTATGTTAAACACATTTGTCTTTCAGTTGCTTGGGTTTTCCAAGTTGCCTGTTAGTTGTAGGGTGCCTGATTTAAAATTCTTACAGTTTATGTTCTGGAGTGCTGCTGTCGTGGGCAGAGTGATAAACCTCACTCATAAGAGAGAAGCAGTGAAATATTTATTAATACAAAACAGTGATTTAACAAGGTTAGTAGTGAACGCAACAGTGTTTTACAAGGTTCGATGGCAAGGGACACTTGATTATTTACTGCATAGAGGACAGGGTCAGACAAGCTGTCAGGGACACCCTCCTGTTGAGTCACGAGGTTCAGAAAGGACCCCCTGGCTTTCTAAACGCCTTCCCAGAGAGGAGTCCGGGTGTGGCTGGATCCAGCTACTCCTCAGCCTCGAGGAGTAGAACCTTAAGCAAGCATTCCCCACTCAAGGGGAGATCCTGGCGTGCAGCAGGAGTCCGGGTGTGGCTGGATCCAGCTACTCCTCAGCCTCGAGGAGTAGAACCTTAAGCAAGCATTCCCCACTCAAGGGGAGATCCTGGCGTGCAGCTCCCTGCAGGAGAGCTCCAAGGGCTCTTGGGCTGTCCGCTATTTCTAGAGTGAGATAATTGACCTATAGTCATGTTCTCATGGGAATTGAAATATCTAGGTTCCCACTTCAGACAGTGTTTTGGCTGCATTGCAAGCCACCCTCCAAAGTGCAGGTACAACTCATCACACTCCCACTGATGGTTATGGCTTGAGCAGGAGCTGGAGGAGGAGGGGAAAAGGGGAGACCACACCACCACAGCTGCCCTCTCCCAGCTCCTGCTGTCTTCAGAGGAGCATCTCATATGTGAAGTACCCAGCTTAGACATCTTGAAATTAGATCCATCTGCTTGGGTCTTGTAATCCCATATGAATACCTATATAGTAGCATCTGGTCTTGCCAAGATCAGAGAAGGCATAGTCACAGCTTATGTAGGACATGGTATGCTTTTCAGAGTGGCTTTGGATGGCACTGTCAATTTGCAGTAATGAAAAAATGATGAGCAGATTTATTCAAATCTGAGGGTTGTGACTCGGATAGAGCTGTGGCTCTAACAGCAGCTATAGAGATATAGCTCCTTTTGGTGAGCTGCATGGTTTCCCCATGTGAAGCTCAGAGCTGGACTGGAATTGCTTCCTGGGCATCTCCTAAACAGATGAATGGTGGCTGGTTACACAGGGCTGCTCCCTTCTTGGTCTGTGTCAATATGCCACCTGAAAAGAAGTGAGAGCCACAGGGATGGCTGTGCTCTTTTCCTGTTCTTTGGTACCAGTGAGGGGAGTCCCTTAAAGCAGGGCTGACACACACAGACTTGAGCTCTACTTGCCACCGGAGCTGCAGGCTCTAGTGTATTTCAAGCAAGCTCACTGGCCCTTCTGGTCCATTAAACCACATTGTTCTTCCTGCTGCAGCTCCTGCCTCTGCTATGTAGTTAATGCTGCTCTATACAGCTGGTGCCATTGACAGTCTTCAGGAGGAGTCAGTTGAGTAATCTGACAGGCCTTGTGGCAGAGGGGACAGACTCGTAACCAATGGCTCTGGTACTGATAAAGATGAAGATACGAAAGGAGTTTTACATTTGCAAAACTTCTCTGGCAAGGAGAAGCACAGAAGAATTTGCACGATTGCTTTGCTTTGCAGTCTATTGCCTGGTGTCACAAAGCACAGGTTGGCCTTCCAGCTGCATTTGGATGCTAAGAATACATCGTGGACCTAAGGCATGGTGTCTGACTGGTGATCAGCACCAGTGAGAAACCCAAATTCCGTGTATTGAAGGGGATGCCTAGAAATAGCATCACCCAGACACTGTGCTTAAAGCAGGTGATGGAAATCATCGGGACAAGGGGGTGCGTGCTTCTGTCTCACCTGTAGGGTGGGAAGTTCCAAGCCAAGATCATCTCCCTGGCCAGGGTCACTCCTGGGACACAGGCAGTCTCTTTCATGAATCCAGCAGAACTGACATGACTGAGGTTATCCTTTTGCATAGAGGCAACTTATGTGCTTGGAAACTTATGTTTCCACATAACAAAACACTGGGCCTCCCTTTATCCCAGGAGTTCGAATTCACAGCACCCACAACCTTGAGTCTCAGAGCTGCAGAGGTCTCCACTTGCAGCTGGGCTCATGGATCCCTAAAGAATGGGCACTTAGATTTTCTTTCCCATTTTCCCCCTAGGAGTGCACCCAGGGCTGAGTGTAGTTCCGCAGTACATTCTGCAGGTGATCTCAAGGTCACTGTCAGAAAAAATTTGCTAGGTGTGCCTGCAACAGCTGCTGAAGTCTACCTGACAGGACAGCCTGATCTCTGCATGGTCTTTCTGGCTATCCCTGATGAATTACCTGGCTTCCAGCCTTGCCCGCATCTGCAGTGACAAGCAGTCAGGAAAGTAGTCGCATGGTTAGTTCACATGGCATTGAGCATTAAGTTAGGTATCTCTCTGCATCATACTTTAAAACAACATCACCCTGACACCACATAATCACAAATTTGAGTTCTTGGTCATAAAGTAAGTATATTTTTAGCTTCAAGGAGCTAAAGGAGGAGCATCAAGTTACCCTGAAAGACAGCAGATACACAGATGTACCAAACTTTATGTATCTGGGCAGCATATGCCTTTGGGAACAAAAAAAACCACAAACCTATCTGCCTTTGAAGGGTGTCTTAGAGCTTATAATAGGTGTCATATCACAAGCAGTCTGTTTCTGCTGGGATTTGTGTTTCAGTTAAAGATGTAGTTATTTCTCTAGCAGAAGGCTTGGCACTTATCTGTGCTAACTTTGCACATTCAGCTTTCCTGTGAGGGCATCACTGGCACTTCTTCATAGCTCCACTGTCCAAAGCTGAGATTGCCTTAAGAATCCTATTTGGGAAACACAAGGTCTGTGCTAGTTTTGGCAGTACACATCTTCCTCCTCCATGAAATACTCATGATGGCTGACTCATGACGTGGTGTTTGCAAGGTAGAGGCTCAGCCTGTTATAAGGACAGACCCAAACTGAGCACCTGGAAATAATTCTTGCAAGGAGATGCCAAGGCACAAGGTGTAATTTCAGCCTTCTGTTTTAACAAAGCCATGGGTGGTACTGGCAGCTCTTAGCTGTACCTGTGCTACAGAAGCAGCAGCTCTTTGAAACGCTGCTTTGGGAGACCCAGAAAGCAGTAGGATGCTGCAGCCTCAGTGCTTGCAGCCTTCGTCGGGCTTCCATAAAAGACCTGAGAAGATGCAAGACCTCAAGCAGTCATTCCATTGAGCTTTGTGTTTCAGATAATGAAGTTGGTATTTCTCTGGTGTGAAGTTTGACTGCTGAAAATTTGCAATGCCTGAATTAGTCCAAAGGCAGGCAGCAAGCAAATAAGCAGGCAGCAAAGCATGATGAATGCACTTAATTTGTTTGTCTTGTGGCTGTGACGTGAATATGACTGGAGCTGGGCTATGTGCTGCATAAATTAGGTAAAAACCTAAAGGTAGGCTTTTCTTCAAGTGAAGCTGTGTGTACCTTCTTATGGTGGGTGGGTCTTGTGGAAAAGTCACCACATAAGCAGCCAGCCACACCACATCTTTCCTTGGACCTCAGTAACTTTGTTCAAGGGTTCTGTTTTGTTTTGTGCAAATCCTGAGGGTCACAGGCTGTTCAGAGCAGCTTCCCAGGTGCTTGTCAGTGACCAGCTGATTGTCTTTTGGGGTCCCATCACCTCCTGTGGTGTCATGGAGCATGCTGAGCTCCGCACGGACCTGGCTCTGGTGTGGTACCAGGAGGTACTGGTCTGCATCATCGACACAGGGTGCATAGCCAGCCTTATGGCCTTGGCTCAGCTCTTCACCTGCAAGATTCTTTGAGACCAGTGTATCTGGGTTGTTAGTCATAAATGCACGCAGCCTGAGAGCAGAGATGGGACTGACACTGTCAGATGCACAGGGGAAGGAGCACCTATATGCTTACCCAGTGACCTCATCTCTAAAGACAATTACTGCATCAGAAATAGAGATCTGTTCATTAAATTAAAGGTATCACCTCACTTTTGTGAGCAGCCTTGTCCACCACGGTTTAACTCTGGCCCACGGTTGGTTGAAGGTCCCAGTGGGACCAGTCCATGTGTTGTGCCTGTTCGCCGAGGTGCTGCTGCTGCTCATGTCTTACTTCTGTTGTAGGAAAAGGTCAGATCCAGTGTTTGCTGGATGTCATCCACAGCAGGGCCAGGTCAGGGCAGATGTCTGCCCATCCAGACCCACTGGATGTCACAGCTTCTTTCTGAGAGCCCATCAAAGCCTGGTGTCCATCTCAGAGATGCTTTTCTGCCAGGCTTAGGGGTTGCTGCCTCTACCTTCCCTACTCTCCCTTTTGCCACAGGGCAGGGACCAAATTTGTTCCACTAGTGCCCGCCAGCCCCTTCACAGGGCTTCGCAGCTCATGTTTCAGGAAACATGATGCCATCCTCGAGGTGAGCGGAGTACTGAAAGTAGTGCCATGCAGCCGTTGTGTTTTACTCAGGAGCTGATGATGTTACTGCAGTTGTAAGTTCAACACTGTAATGATTTGTTTTGTTTCTGATGTTTATGTGATGGTGCATATAGTGTGATCTGGAGGGCGACCCCTTGACTCACAACAAGGTGCAATCTCAGTAAAAGACATGGGTGCTCCAACCAGCCCTAAGGCAGAGTGTAGGCATCTGGATCCCAGGGTATGATCCCATAAATGTCTGTAGACATTCAAGAAAACATTAGTGAGTTTAAAATGCCATTTAAATGCCTGTAGCAGGAAACCAGTGGAGGACATACCACATCCTCATTGCCAAGAAAATGGGAGATTCAGTTGCTGGCACCCCCTATCTACGGTTGTTAAAATTCAAGAGTTAATGTTTTAAGAAACTGCTTCAGCCATTGAACTGTGGGATTTTCTGCTGCCATTAATCCCTTGTGGATACAAGCACTTTGGGCCAGCAAGCCATGCAGGCTGAGCACAGATTTGTGCACAGGTCACTCAGTTGAGCAAAAGACTCCACACCCATAACATGAGTTAAAATTACTGGATGGGTGGTTTTTTTTTTTTAAAGTCTTTATGAAATAGCCATAAGTGAGGACATGCCAGAGCTGGCCTGCATGCAGAGCACCTTGCACTGCAAAGCCAGGACCAAAAACCCAGCACTATTTCAGACTCCTTTGCAGTCCCTGAGTCCCAACTCTCTTTATTTTCTTTTGCACAGGACGAAAGCAAAGATTTTGTGCCTAGTTCCAGAAGAAAACAATACGGCTCTTCTGAGTACCTCTCCCAGGTTGACACACCAGGGAAAAGACCAGCCGCTAAGATGGAGCTGCAGGACCCTGAAACCAACCTACACGCTCCACTGGGTCTCCAAGCAGAGGAGCAGGTATGCGAGTTCAAGGCCCATCCAAAAAAGAGAGTTACAAGGCAAGAAGCTAATATCTGAAATGACCTCCCAGTAACATAACTCAGAGAACTTGTCCAAATGAATGTAAACTTTTTAGGAGAAATCCAGTCTTAAATTAGCACTCCCCAGAGCTGAAGCATCTATTGTATTGCCTTGGTAAATTATTCTACTTATTGCCTATACTGGTAAAACATACTACCTTATTTTTCTGTTCTAAACTTGTTTTAGCTTTATGGCTAAAAATTTTCTCCAGGGGGTAAGAGGTGCTGCATCTAGTCATCCCCTGGCACACATTGGACAATTGGCAATGGAAGAAATGAGACAAAATCAGAGCCCCTGACGTTTCTGCTTCAACTGTCTGCTGTACTACTAGGGTGCTTGTCTGCTGCTACATACCTGCTGCTCTGCCTCCTAAAGCACGTTTTGGAAAATGGCCCACATTATAATGACCATCACCTATTGGCTGAAATACGAAAAAAAGTGTATTCCAGCCTCCTCACAGGTGGCTTCCTTCATAGGGGTTCAGGCAGCCTTTAATTCTTCGGTCCACAGCCACGCTTGTGTCCTTACAAAGGATTTCTGGCATTCTCTCTTTGCCTGTGCAGCTGCCCAGAGCAAAGTGCATCTTTCCATTTATGGATCACCCACAGGAGGAAATAAGACCTCAACCCTGCCATCAGTGTGCACAGGAGTTGCTGAGTCTGAGAGCAGCAGGATGCAGCGAGGCAGCTGAGCGTCCTACATAGTCATACCTGTTGGTGAAGCTGCACAAAATTAAGAGTCCAGAGGAACACGGTCCCAGCTGAGCTTTGCAGACTGGCATTTAGTGATAGTTGAAGTTTGCAGTAGGAAGCAGTGAACTCACACTGTCCCTGTTGGTATCTGAGGAAGGGGACTCCATAGCAATGCTCTCTGTGGTCACCAAGAGGAGTCATCCACAGTGACATTCATCTGGCCAGATGGAGACTTCTGTACGTGAGGCTGGGCTGGGCTTCCTTTGTCTGCACAGACTGGGTCAACAGCAAATAAAAACTTGGTCAGGTCCCCATAACATCATTTGGATCTGCCCAGACCTCCGCTGACTGTAACAGGAGCATGAACACCTTGCACATGGAGATCAGGTCCATCTCCTCTGTGCTGTCAGGTGTTGTGCATCTCACTTGCCAGCTCCACGTGCTGGGTGTGGAAGTAGGTGCTGGGTACACTACAGCATTAAAAAAAATGATAATAGGCCGTGCCTGTGCAGGGCAGGGCTGGGCCATTCCGCTTTGGGCTTACTCCACTGACAGAGCTTTTAGCTTCCAAACTGATCCTGCCACCACCCTCCTCTGCCCCACCATCGGGCAGAGATCCTGATGGGCTTTGGATGGCTGCCTAGGGGCAATCATGATACTATTCACCAGAGCAAAAATGCTGCCAGAGGCAGCTGCAGGTCCTGGCCAGTCTGTGATACTGGGGGGTTGTCATTTACAGGGTGATTCCCGTGCCTGCCGGACAACATCTCGGAGATGAGTTGTATTCCCTTCCACTCAATGGACACACTGCACAATGGAGGACAGTACCTAGCTCACAGGCATCACACCTGTTGGTAGCATCTCCAGAGGCTTCAGTTAGCCTGAAACCAGTTTTATAATGCGATTTGCAAGGTACAGGAGCTTTACCAGTGAATTCTTTTTCTTCATTGCTGAAGAGGCAGCTGCAGAGACTTTGCTCAGGGGACTCCCACTTCTCATCTCTGTACCTGCAAAATTAATCTCCATAGGATGACAGATCTGTCTCCATATGGAAATGGTGACTGCATAGCCACTTTGAACGATGGTACTCCCTGGACCAGCGAGAACTTCTTGGTAATCACTTGCATTTAGACAAAATCCCACCTGTGATTACAGTCCGCCAGCCCTACACGGCTCCACAACTGAAAGCTTTCAGTTCCTGAGAGTTTGCATTCTCCTAATACACCCTTGTTGGCTTGGATTATGGTCACCTCAGAACATGTGTTTCCAGCACCCCCCATATCTTGGCAGGAGGAAACCATTCCACACTGGTTGCTTTACACATTAAGAGGGAAAGAGCAGAAAATGTTTAGAAGCAGTTTCTTCCCTATTGCTGTCAGTCTCTGCAACAACCTTTTCCTGACCTGCTCATCACCAGCTGAGATCATGCACCAAGGAGTCATCCTCTGAGCCACACCAACAGCAGTTCACACAGCAGTGACCCTTCCTTCTGACTTGGACTGAGGTGCTTTTTTACCTGAAGCTTTATGTCCATCACACTCTGCAGGCAACAATGCTGCTGCTTGTTCTCAGCAGTTGAGCTCTAAGGGAAAAAGAAACAAGTGCTTTTCCTTGTAGACAAGCAGAATGTTCCTTCCAAAAACAGGGTCAAGACAGCAGGATTAGACTCTAAGCTGAGTTCCAGTATGGCTACCTAGGCAGCCTAGGTCTATGCCGCTCTTTAGATAATCACCCCACCCACCGTATTTGGGACCCAGGTATGGTCAGAGGCTGCTTCAAAGGCAGAGGTACGTTACCCTTTCAGTGCCCACAGGCCACCAAGTGCAGATGGCATGACTGTCGGGGAAGACACCACCCCTGCAGCTCCACGAGGTGCTCAGGTGTTGAAGCAGCATCTGCTCTGGGCTCAGCGATTGCATCTGGCTCTTACGGCCGGGGTCTGACAGTCCTTCCCATACACTCCACTCAGCTGCAGGGCTGGCCCATGCTTTTCCTGTCCTGTCCACAAACACCACTGAGCTCCCCCCAGGGCTTTCTTCTGCCTGTCGGAAACAGGTGCCCCTGTCTGTGGTGGGACAAGGACAGTGCCGCAGAAGGAAAAAAGTCCCTTCCCTGGTTTGGAGATGCTGCGACCCAGCAGCTGCCATGTCTGAGTTGCAACCCCCACTCACTCCCACATTGCACCTTCCAGACAAGCAGCCTGTGAGTATCCGTATGTGCACATCCATGTGCCCTGTCTCCTCCCTCTCCCTTGGAATTATATGCCTCAATTCTGAGAGGCAAATAAATCAAAAAAAACCAGAGTTGGTTGGAAAATATCTATGGAAACATTTATATAAAAGGAAAGTGTTTCAGTCACTTTTTTTTTTGTAATAAAGATTGTTTGGAGGAAGGGAAAAACTATTTTGGAAAAAAGTCCTGTTGCAGTTTTTAGATGGTTTCCCAAATCTATCTTTTTAACCCTTCATTTATTCTTCTATATTTTATGATATGTATAATTGTCAAGTGCATAACATGACAAAAAGATAATGCTTTTAAATTAGTACTAAGTGGCATCTCTAATAACCATAAAATTAAAATATATTAATTGTTATCTCCTACCATTTCATGACAGGTCAGTGCTAGTAGAGAATGGGATAAATATATCAAGCATAATGGCCAAAAAAAAAAAAAAGTTTAATCCAAAGAAAAAGGGAAAGAAACTGAAATTCTGAAGTTACATTCAGATTTCTGAAATGCCTCCCCCTGCCCAATGTTTATGAGGAAATACTGAAAATTAGTAGACATTTTGCAATCTGAAACCACAATGTATTTTCTTTTTTAATAAGTCTGTGAAATTGCAGTATCCACCGTGAGAGCCCTGCTTTGGTCAGAGAGTAACTGTAGGGCAGGACCACCACCACGCCAAAAAAAATTAGTGAGATTGATGACTTGAACAGCACCTGTTCCCTGGCCTCACTGCGCCACCTCGCAGGCTGCCCAGGGCTGAGGAACCCAGCTGCAGCCTGGCCAGCAGTGCCGTGTCTCAGCAGGGCTCTCACAGGGCTGGCTCACTTGCAAGACTCTGGACAGCCTCAGGACGCTGCATTCTGACTATTTGGCCCTTATTTTCATTTTAAAGAAAATATTTCCCTTTAAAACTAAATACATTGCTTTAGGTCCTCTTCTGTCTGTTGCAGGGGGGACAGTGGTGCACACACCCCTTGTCCCTCCCGTGCCAGTGTGGCTGCTCCCCCATGTACCACCCGAACCCCTCCTGCAGCACCCCGCTTGCTGAACCTGGCAGCTCTCATGCTGGAGGCGTTTTGCTGGGTACCTACCTCTTCAGACCACACAGCAATTATTTACTTCCCTTTAGATTCCCAAACTTGCTGCCGAGCAGCTCTGGAGCTGTAGGATACAAACCCAGCTCCAGTCACCATGGCAGAACTGCTGCCCACCATCTGCTTTGGCACCACAGTTCAGTCTCACAGAGAAGCAGGGTTTTTATGAGCACCTTCCCCCCCGCCATCGCTGCTGCCCACAACTCCCAGCTTAGTTTTACAAGGGTCTGGCCAGCACATACACACTCAAGAGGATGAGTATGGCTTTCAGCAGCAACTGTATGGCTTTCCTCCCAGTGATGCTGATCCCCGTCCTGCTGCAGGACAGTGGGCCATATCCCACAGGACGCTTGGGGGGCCATGCATATCCACCAGCCCACTCACGCTCTTGGCATGGATCAAGCTTAGCATGGTGCTTCCAAAGCTCCCTCCAAAGGAAACCAGTTTCAGTTCTGGACAGAAAAGTTCTGCATCCCTAAGACACGACGTGCTGGGTTAATACAGGCTTCCCTGTACCTACCCACAAAACTCTGGCTTGTCAACTGCACAGCTCATCCCAGTAATGCAACCCCATGTCTGATGTGCAAGGGAAAAATTCACCAGCAGCAAGAGCTGTTGGTTTTTTCCTTTCTGTCAGCCAGGCCCAAGCTTTTCCTCAGCCACAGGCAACCAGAGGACTTCACCCTGCTGCTCGGCTGGCTCATTGCAGGCAGCAGGAGCCCCAGCTACTGACCCAGCAATGCAGTTCTTCGGCACTGTCTGCTCTCAGGTGTATCTCACAGGTGATGTCTCTCCTTTCTCCAGCTGCCTCTCCTTTCTCCAGCTGCCTCAGTCCTTTGTTCAATATTTTACAGTACATACCTTTAACTCTTGCTCTAGACTCACTGCTTGTAAATAATGAACACAGATGTCACTCAGTAACTGTACACTGGGTTGTTTTTACCACAACTGAGATTAAACCCTCCTTAAAATTGAAAGGGGCCATGCCCTCTAATCATGAGTGCAATAGGAGCTGATTGTATTATGAAACTTAAAGCAATGACTTCAGAAAACACAATGTGTTTTACTCAAATTGCACACTTTTTTGAACAGCTGTAAAATAGAGTATATGTGTAAATATTGCCATCACTGAAGAAGTATTTGTAATTTTAGCATATAAATATAACAGGCTTTTCAGTGGGCTTGATGCCACAAGGCTGCGCATCAAGCACTTGGGTAATTGCAAAGTTGTAAATGTATTTGCTGTACAGAGAAAGTGTCAGTGCTTACTTCTCCCAAGGAAATGGAGACACTGGTCCCTTTTGGAGAGCTGCCAGTGGCTTCCCCCAGAATGACTGGCACCAGTCTGAGCTGCTTTGCTGTGTGGCTTCCTTTGTGTCCAGAAACACCGTTGCAGCATGCAGAGCAATGACTCTCCAGCTGCTCCACCAGCATGGGGGGGTGCCAGTTTGGCAGAGCAACCACTGGTGCTGTGCATTGTCAGCCTGTAGCTTGGTGGACACAGGAGGGGAGACCCACAGTCCTCCTGCGGACGTTCCTCCAGGAAAGGAAAAAAACAGGAAGCACAGGGCAGGGTGGTGCACCTTGGTGCTTCAAGAGACACTTAACATGAGCAATTTCCTAGCTACAGATCCAAGCAATAGTCACGTTGGTGTCATCACTAATATAGTAGACCTCATCTCTGCCACCCTTGCACATCACTGGAGTGGTCAAAGCGCTGCTCCAAGGCCAGCCTCCAGGAGACTGCTCTGCAGGTGATGAAACATGAAGCCATTGTCTGCAGATGCCTCTGATGGTCAGTAACCTGAGGACCCAAAGGATCGCCTTCCTCAGCTGCCCAGCATGCAATGCAGACTCCTGCCTTGGGGAAGCAGCACTCCAGGCTGCATGGAATGTATTTTTAAGAGAATAAATCTATTTTTTTGTATTTGCAGACATATATTTGGGCTGGGGCAGCTTAGTTAGAAGACAACTAATGCAAGCAATCTTTTCATAATCACAGACTCATCCAAGTTAAGCAAATTTTCCAGGGTTACAGTATTGCCTGTTTCCCTAAAACAAACTTTTATCTCCAATAGAGCTATCAGCATTGTTTCACCCTCTCAAAACTCTCCATGTCTCAGCATGCTCAGTAGAGCCACCCCAGGCTGCCTATGCAGTGGATACAGATGGTGCTCACCACGGTCCAGTTACACAGTGCTCTTGGTCTGCATGCCAAATGTAAACAGACACTTTATCTGCATGTCTTTCCTGACTCAAGCATTGTCAGCTCTACAGTATATAACCAATAAAAACTCTTCTCTTTTTAATATGTTTGTGATGTGGTGTTTGTAGCTCTGGCTGAGACCCTGCACAGTATCCATTACTCAGCAGTACCGATGCCCCATGGTAAGTGCCAAGGCAGCTCCATTCTGCAGCACAGCGCATTGCTGCTCTCTCACTACCTTGTGCTTAGTTTTTTGCCTCAACCCAGGCAGGTCCCATCCGTCCATCCCTGGGCTGCAGGTAAGGCACGGACAGTGCATACACACGTGGCAAATCAAGTTGAACACAGCCACGCTCCGCTTTTGGACCAAGCATCGCTTTTCCTCCCGTGGGTTCCTGATCTGTCAGAGTCGCATCTTACATTTTAATGCTGTATATTAAAGCAGTATTTACCCAAGCTACAGAGGCAGCCCATGGCTCTCCTTAAATGTGTTTCCTGACCCTGCAAAGGGATCTTGCCAGCATTACCACCACTCAACCTGAATAACAATCCTAACGTCCCCACCCTTGTAGGCCAGGTAGGGAACACCCGCTGGACTCTGGAGCCAGTCCCACGTCAGCTGGCAAAGGGCACACTGCCTGACTCGTGTTCCCACCTCTCTGGAACATCAGCTTCCCGGTGTGCTTATCCTTGTAATATCTTTATTAACATGCTTTTTAATTGAAGGCATCTGAAACCCAGACTTCCTTGCTTTTGGCATTTGCACAATGGATATATACAGTTGTTTTCAAGTTCTCTGCACTCAACTTGAACTGGAATTCTATGTAGCTGTCATCAGGTTATGGTAACAAGGTTTAAGGATATGTAGACCCTTTAGTCCCCAAAGACATCTCTGTTACACATCAGTGAAGCACAGAGATGGCACAAAGTCAGGCACAGCAGCCACAGCTGTTTCTCTTCAACACCACCACCAGATAAAACAGTTGTATTTTGTATCACTTGGTGGCCTAAGACACCAAAAGGGAAGGTCCCCATTCATTTTCGTCATCTTGCTAAGGATTCAAGCCAACATCTGTCAGGCCTCAGAAGACCAGGGTAAAGCAAGGGGGAGAGAAAGAGGGGGACCCTTGTGCTGAAGCAGTCATGGCATGTGTAAGAATGCAGCCAGGTCAGGAGGAAATAACACGTAGGGGCTGAGGCTTTGGCATTGCAAGCACAGCTGGGAGGTGCCTGACTTGGTCCAAGACCTCCCTGGACTCATCTGCATTAGCTCAGTCCCAAGCAGGCCAAGAGGCACCATGTGGCTCCTGTTCACAGGCCATAACTTCATTGCCTCCCTACACCATAAACATGAAGGCAAACACCTCCCAGACTTTCCTTCTTCCTTAGCAACACACCCTGACTCAGGCACCCTTATCATCTTTAAAAACCACGATGTTCTGCACAGAAACCCAAAAGCTTGCTGTCAGTGACCAGATTTGACATTAAGTCTTACTGCCCTAGGCTGGGGCCCGGGGCTGCCCTCATGTCTCTGGTGCCCAATGGGTAACACCTCTGCATAATCACCCAGTTATGGTGCTGTGGAGAACAAATCAGCATTCTCCTAGTAATGGCAGAATCAGGCGTGAATTAGCCATGAAGTTGAAGCCATTAACTTCAAGCTCCCACCGAGGATGCTTCTGTGGAGCATTCAACAAAGCTGGGATTGTACAGGGTAAAGAGTAAAACCAAAACAAGTAGAACATGACAGCTGGAGGGAGGTGAAGGCTACAAGAAGATCATCGCCTACTGTTTCCTGCTTGAAACATTTCCCCCAGCTCAGTGTTTTGGGTTTTTCCAGGTGCCCGCCAAGATCCTACTGGCCGGAGCCCTTCCCATCCCAGGCCAGATTCCAGGACCTTCCTTTAGGAGCAGCTTGGCTATCCTGTCTCCTCAAAGGAACCAGCTGCCTCCAGAACTAGGATGAGTTACCAATAAATGGCAACCTTTTTTCATCCAAAGCTGCATCATCTCAACTGCTTCTGAAAACAGGCACAGCGCCCAAACTCTTCACACTTCAACTACAAGGAAATGGTGGGTGGATCATACCTACCAGAATATCCTGAAACCTAGGTAAATAATGTCCTAAATCCGCATCCACTCAAAAAAAATTATGATGTCCCCTCCTGCGCTGGCCCAAGCTGCATACTGACTGGAGCACAGAAGGAGCATACCGAGTACTGAGGAGATGGCGAGATCCTGGTCCCTCTGTGCTAAGGGGCACACACGAATCATTAGGTAGGGCATAAGGCTTAATGAAGGTAGAGTACACAGAGTACTCTGGTCACACTCAATCCTAAATTACATCCGTCCATCATTGACAGCTTCAGAAAAATGTTGTCTTCTGGTGCTGAGCAGGAATTCAGTAGTATGATACATACAGTGCTAGTCACAGTAATATTTTTTTCACGCTTACCTGAGACCACCAAGTTGAAGTATCCTCAGTGAATCGGGAAAAAGCATTCAAATTGAGCAGTTTGACCAGCTTCATGTGTTATTCATGAGGGTGTGATTCTGTCAGCAAGGAAAAGTTACTAAGGACAGGAGTATGTTGGCCAACCATCAATTCTAACTCTACCCGGTAACTTGAGATTGGTGACATTTCTGTCTTGTAACAGTGGATCATGGCAGAGACTCGAACCCATGTTTTAAGCCATGAGCACACAAGGCTTAACAAAAAATCTGGGAAAAAAATAAGGTATGTGGGACTATAAGGACAAAGAAGGCTAAGTACTGAGTATGTGGAGTACGTACGTCATACAGCACCGAGGTAAATAATTTCCATTTTCAGGTGGCTGGGGTCCACATGTCTGTTCAAGCTTTGGGTAACCTCAAACTCAGTTAAACAGAATTGCAGTTACCCAGGGGCAGCTTGGAAACCAAGTGGTAATTTCACTGTTTGCAAAATTTACACTAGTTTACCAGATGCTTAAGCAAAAGAGCAGCATTTGGTGCAGCTATGAAGAAAGACTGCTGCAGAAGCTGTGTTGAAGGGTGGACACACCTTCAACACTATGAGGGATCACAGAAGTGCTTACAGCAGGGACTGCACTCAGGTACCACAGTATAAATAAGTGATTTTCCAGACAGCCTCTGCAAAGGGACATGGACCTAGGACCGCTCCACTAACAAGGTAAATGCATTCAGGAGCTTCTGAAAGGCAAGAAACCAACTACAAAAGGTCCTTAAGTTGATGGTGTATGAACTGCACTAACAATTCCTGAGGTTTGTCTAGCATATTTGGCCCCACACTAGTAAGAAAGATTTTGAAGTAGGTCCTGCATTACCAGAACTCAAAGGCCTAATTAACAGACTTAAAAGTCCTGAAACTATTTAGACATAGGGACATAATGAGTTTCTCTAGAGAAGCATGGCTGAAGAGAGTGCAGAGATAAACCTCACCCTAAGTCGGTATTTCAAACATTATCATAACTCTTTCTGCAAAATCTTCTATGAAATATATTTGCACATCTGTTATTTGGCAGCAGTCTGAAGGTTGCACGCACTTGTGCATGAACATTCGAAGTAATTTCTTCAGCTCAGTAGCACTTCTGGATGCTTGTGAACAAGTCACCCTATTTTTCTGCTGGTTATTTTATGACACATGTACTTAACCTGACAATATTCGCATGAGAAGCTACAAAAATTATTCTGAGTGTATCAGTGCAAGAACAGGCCCATTGATCATATCACTGAAGCAAGGCCAGTCTGGATGTCAGATTTCCTTACTGCTTTCGTTGGGCAAGACATGGCAAGGTCAAAACTACAGCTACAGTGAATATGTGTCTGCTTTGATTTCTCTGAAGCATGGTCACACTTCATAGGAGCGAAAGGCTCCCAGTACCACATCACCAGTGTCTTCAGTTGGCTGGAAACAGGGAAGAACCATCAGAGAACTTGGTCAGCTACTCTGTCCCGTGTCCACGTGCATACGTAGGAATGCGATGACAGACAGAAGTGCAGGATGGGCTGCATTCCTGATGTGAATACTTGCATTGGGTATTTTATTGCATTTCTCAGCCCTATGAGACTGAGGTTTTCCAGGGAATTTCTAAACACCACGTTTACTTGATGCCTATTAGCACCTGAAAGGAATGGAGAGGCTCCACAAGCTCTGCAGGAGCTTTGCTATTAACAAGACAACGGCGCTTGTAGAGGAACAACAGAACAACAGACAAATGGGCAAAGCTGGAAAAAATTAATTTTAAGACAGTGTTCTTTGCGTAAGATTCATTGCATGAGTGATATGCACAGTTAATTAAAGGGATGCTTTCACTCTCCACTGACCTTCTAAAGGTGATGACTTGTGGGTTTTTTGGATATTTATCCAGCTGATCCTGGTAACACCCAGAGCATAAGGTCTGGAAGCAGGCCAATAGTGCTGTAATATCTGTGTGCTTTGGGGAAGAATGTTCCTGTAAGTTTCAATATTCCTTCCAAATGAACAAGAAATTACAGCTTCATAAATTAGATACATTGGAAATTGCAAAGAATAATTGGTAAAAGCAGCAAACTTGAAAACAAACCAGCCATGGCATCTAATTCTCTTTTGGTAAATATTATACAAATAAAGTTTAGTCACTTCACTTTATGGAGCCACTTCATGGCTTAAAGACTACAAGATTAACTCTGAGCACCACAGGACCCTCAGTTGAACTTTTTTAGAAATCTATGAAGAGACACAGTCAGGTGAAAAGATTCATAATAAAAAAAGAAACTGAAGCACCCCAGTGAAGCAGTTCCTCTCGGTTTATGATCCTGTCAATTACTAAGATAACAAAACAGGGAGAACCCATGCTTTGCAATTCATTTCCACTACAGGCAAGACCACAGCAAATATTCTCAGTTCCATACAAAGACTGAACACAAAGACCCTGAGCTAACAGTAGTTTATTGCAAAGTAGACACTAGCACTTGACAAAAACACAGACATCTGGAGAACCGAGAAACGTAAACTGCCCCATCCAAAAGTCACAATCTGACCAGTGAGTGCAGGGATTCACTCAGGATTCAGAACCCCAGGGCAGATTACTGTGGTCCTTCATCTTCAGTACAAAAAGGGAAGTTCAACTATAGAAGAACATTTTTCTTTCCAAAATGGGCACCAATCAGTTTTGTTGTCAGAAACACAATTCATCTACACATGGAATAGAGTGAGAAGTGGCAAGTCCCTGAGACTAGGTGGAAAGACACGCTACAGGCTCAGGCAATCCCTCCAGGGAAGTTATGGCAAACAAACAGCAGCAAGGGGAAGAATGGCTACACCACGAGGAAGGATGTTGAGATCAAGAGGGACCCATTGAGTTACAGTGCCGCCTCCTCCTCAGTAGGTCAGTGGTAGGAAGACTACACAGGCAGCACTTAAATAGGACCAGCCGTTATGGGTCAGACCAACGGTCCGTCTAACAGACCCTGGCAGAGGAAGCAGAGAGCAGGATGCTCCTAAGCACACACACGGTTAAGTCTGGACTCAGAGCCACCACCTGAGGCACAGCAGAAGGCACTCCTGGGATGAGAGAAGCAGCAGGGCAAGAGCTGCTAACTGCTGGGAGAGTACCTGCTTGAGGAATATCAGGCACTGTTAGTGCTGCAAAGAGTGTGAGACCATCCTGCTCCTGGACAAACAAGGGAATTTTCACTATGTGGCTGGGCAGAGCTAAACCCCAACATTAAGATGACTTGTCACTATGAGCTCAGGCCACCTTTTCCAGGTCTACAAGCTCCAGCTGGCCTTGAGGTGACAGTGCTTCCCCCTAAACTCCTCCCTCCATCCCAGCAATTCCACAGGACACAAATGGAATGAAGGCAGCAGTCCTTGACACTCACCCAGCCACTGCTTCCCTCTGCTTAGACAACCACAAGAAACTGGGCAATGCAGGGCAGGGGCTGCAGCACAGCAGCTCTGAGGTATCTCTGTGCCAGAGAGAGCAAGAACAGAAAAAATGAAAAGTAGAAAAAACAGCATGAATAAAGACCACGGTTAGATGAGACAGAAATAAACTGTAGAAAGAGGAGGATAAGAAAAGTGGGAAGAAATAAGAAAAGCCTAATGCTGAACGGGCAAAGGAGGAGAGGGGAAAAAGGGATCTAGATGTTTAAGTAGGACTGCTCTGTGCAAGGAAAGAAATGTACTGAATTAATAAGAAGGGAAATATTTGGAAAAGCAACCAAACCAAAGTGATTTTTAGAAGTGTAACAATGGCACCTGCAACATCTTCTCATCATCCTAGCAGAAAGGAAATCAACAGGTACACAAAGTATCTACCTGCAGTGTTCAGAAGTGAAGAGTTTAGGTCCTTCAGCTGACTGGCTATTTAGGCAATGCTGTTTCTATATAAACAAATAGCAGTAATTTAATGAGTTTTTAACTTACAAATATCCAATTCTGATGCTCTCTTTTGTTGAAAGTATTTAATAAAACAGTATGCTTAGCACACTCTTAGTAATACCAGCTTTCACTCTAAAACAGGATGCATATGGTGTAGCAGCCTATGGATGACATTGGAGTGGTGGGATGTGCTGTTGCTGCTAGGGAAACAGTTGCACCAAATTCTCAAATGCCACATGAGAATAGACGTGGTCAAAAATATTATTCTTCAAAACGATAAAAAAAACCCCAAACAACAAAGAAGTTTACACAGATTCTACACTAAGCTACTATTCGTAGCAACCAGCTTATAGAGGGCCTTGTGCAATTACCAAGTTGTAAATACATGTATAGGTAGAAAAAAAAACCAAACTAAAAAACCTCCAGATATAAGCTTGACTTTCAAAAAATAACTCCAGTCAAAAAAAGTCCCTGACCAGCTTGGTAGTAAAGGATTATGTGTAGAGTGGCACTTCAAATCACTATAATAGATTTTGTAAGAGGATGCCAAGCCAAATGTTAAGTACGTTTCTGTAAGACCGTTCTAGTGGAAGTGTCCTACACCAACTCATGGGTAAGTCCTTTCAGCAGAGGAAGGACTACGTGAAGATCTTCATCCCAAAGAGGCCACCAGAGCAGCATTGTGGTCTTGTCACTCCTCTTTTGATGCCTTCTCCTTTTCTCACATGCTGGCAGCTTGTTGTGCAGGGACCCCAGGTGTAGGCTGGCGAGGCAAAGTATACATGGCCCCAAGAAACTGGTCTGCAATTCGACCGGCTTCTCTCAGTCCACTCAGTAAAGCACCATGAACAGTTGCAGGGTAGTTGCGAATTGTATGTTCTCCCGCAAAAAACAGGCGAGGAATAGGCTGGGGGAAACAGAGAACACTGTTAAGGCTTTCATGTTCTTTCAGGTGCTGCAGCAAACAAATACTTTAAGAACATTAGAAATCCTCTAGTCACACCACAGTCTCCACTAACACGAAGGTGGTGCACATAAAATAATCTATATTAAAAATATTCAACCTGCCCTACAAGTTACCAAGAAAATCTTCACATACACCTTTCATTCCACAGGAGGGTTTCATCTTCGTAGCGACTGTAACACGAGGAAATATTTTCCAATTATTTGCCAATATCTTTGCTTTGATACAAAGACAATAAAGCTCTACTTGAAAAACAATACTTTCAGAGCCAGATAAGCAGGAGAGATTCATGTCCCCAGCCACATACCAAAAAAGTATTTGAATGTTCTCTCTCTACAGCCAAACTGTTAAACACGTTTAAGAAGAATGATGGTTTCTGATCCCGAGACATGAACTCCAGCACACTCTTAGTAATACTGGCTTTCATTCTAAAACAGGATGCGTAGGGTGTAGCAGCCAATGGATCATTTTGGAGGGGTGCAATTTGCTGTTACTGCTAGGGAAACAGTTGCACCAAATTCTAGACAGAACAAAAACTTCAGCAATTCACTTAAATTGGCAGTTTCTCTTTAAACTGAGACCCAAAGCAACTACTGAAAGTATCATAAAAAGGAGAAAAACAGACTTTCATAGATTATACTCTGCAGAGAATCATTTTGTCCGTGTATATCTACATCTATTAATTATTTGTATTACTAGAAAAAGAACCAAAATAAAGCCAAAGCCACACATCCTTCTCTGCTAGTGCTTTCTGAATGGCTATTGCTTCTATTCTTTTGAAAACTTCATCCTCTCAAAAGCAAAATGCAGATGACTTACACCTTCATGGTGTTTACTCCCAACTTGGAAGAGCCCTTTTGACTGTTACTCTCACTCTGGCCTTCACCCTCTTTCAAATCACTACAACTTACTTAAAAAAGATGATAGACAACATAAATATGGAGTATGAAATACAATAAATGTACTCTGTTCAAGCACTACCAAATTGACTTTCTGAATGAAAACGCTCTTTTTCTTGTAAACAAGTGAGACCCAACCTGGAAAGGAAGAATTTACGGATGGAGAACTGAATTATTTTACAGGTTCTAAGCATTCATCAGAAGATGAAAGTTATCTAAACTTGTGTTGAGATATACATGCAAATTACACAGAAAAATCATCCTGTTGTGAGGTTTTTCTAAAAAGAACTGAGACACATCTCACCTGAGGAGCACCTGGAATGGCCGGCCCTGGAGTAATTGGCTGAGCCATCAAATCATAGTCATTTCCAGAAGATCCAGCTGCTACGTAGGAATATGATCCCCGGGCCCACGGGTCAGCACGCCAGCGGGATACCACTGTCTCCTTGGGCTGAGACAAGTCAGAAACTTCAGTTATTGACACAGTGCAAGTTCTACAGTTTGTGCAAAATACAAAAGATGCAAACTGCCAATAAAACACACAAAGTCCTCAGGGTAACATTAATGGTGCAACTCCAAGTTTATATTCCATGATAACACACACTAAGGTAAATAACTTGTCTTTTGTGGCAATACCTTAATTCTTTCCAATATATTACCAGAACCTACTGCAGGTAGCTACTCCAATGGAACTCAGGCTTTGTAGTCAGCTCTCCATGCACACTATGTCCTGTTTGCTATGTTTCTTCTCCTATTATGAATATAATAACAATGCACACTTCCTACTCCTTTACTTTTTTTCAGGTCATCTGAGTATCTCTTCTGATATGACTATGATATAGGCCTATATAAAGTCTGTAACTCATCTGCAAAAACAAGTGCATGAAGGGTGCCTGCACAAACACCTATGTTTCTCCAATCCATCTGGTTTCCCAAGGTAATGGTCATGATTAAAGGTATTCCACTGAAAGATGCAACAGTGAGAAAGTGTCACCAGGACTCAAACCACTTTAAGGCATAACAGCAGTCAAGAGAAAATGGGACATCCTCTTGCAGACATACGGTTGAAAAGTGATGGGTGTGAATCTCAAAATAGCCAGGACTCTGTCCAAACATGAAACCGAGTTTCAACAGGAACCATACCCCATAAAAATGCAAACATCAAGACAGGAACCTCATCTCCTCTCCTTGGGCATGAAGATATTTCATGGAATTGTTTCTACTTGAACAAACCTTCCCACAAAGGAAGAAAAAGAGGCTCTATCTAGCAAGGGTGTTATCCAGAAACCAGCCCAGCAGGAACCGTAACACATTTTGGCAAGGGAGGTCTCCTGGACCAACTGATCTGAGATGAACTCTCTGAGGCTGGCCTCGGCTGGACTATATTCGATGCCATCTGCTGAGTGTGTGGAAAGGCCACAGAGGAGGCCATGTTCCAAGATGTAAGACATCACTGAAGATTGGAGACCACATTTCCCAATATGGTATGATGACTTAATTGAGAAGATTTCTCACCACAATTTTCAGCACTTTTTTATCCAAAAGGTAAGAAACGAGTGATAAGCCAACCCTCACATATTGACTGCTTCTTGAGAAAGGAGTAACCTCATATTTCCTTCCTTGGATGGAGACCACTGTGATGGCACTGTATGTTATCGATGTATGTCTGACAAAGAAAACTTTGAGGCATTTCATAAATTTCTTAATTCTTTCTAGTAATCACATGAAGCATTGCAGTCCAGGAATAAAGCCAGATAGAAATTTTACTCCACTGAGGTAGTTTTGAAGGTATGGCTAACCCAGGCACGGCTGTAGAGCAGAATACAAAAGTACTGGTTCCCCAGTACTGAGACTGTGCACCAGTCCAAACAGCAACTGTGGTGTTCATGTGCCCAGACACCCACTGGGTACGAGTCAACTTTTATTTTCATCCTGACAAGCAAGTGCTGTAATTGGGATTCCCTGTGAATAGAGAAAAGGATGGCTAGAGGATAAAACATGTACTCCAAGGGAAGTGGTACAAAACAGAATCCTGCTCTACAGAGGACATGAAGCTTATAGATGTTACCTGCACAGCTAGGTTGGTTCCATGTGCTGAAGAACAGCAGGAGGAAAAAATGGTTATATATATCTTCAGGAAATGAAAACCAAAACAGAAAGAGAAAAAAAGACAGTAACAAGAAGCAGCACAGGATCAAGGAGGATAGCTCACATTCCAATGAAATGTTGCTTTTGTTTAACTTTTCTACTTTGCTGTTTTGAACACATCCAAGGAACTGCACTTGCTTGGGGAGCTCCACTTCATATGCGGTTGTTCATCCAACATAACAGATTAGAGTTTATCCAGGCTGAGCAACAACTGTCCAGAAGGCAGTCTCCAGCAAACCTCTCCACTATCAAATGCTCATAGTACATAAGCACCTGAACTGTGAACGTGTTAAAACAGAGACTCGCTTAGAGATCTCATTTATCACAACAGAGAAATGCTTTCTCCTTTGAATGACTGACCAGACACGGAGTAATCCCATAACTGGAGATTATCAGTTAATGCACTGAAATATTTTAAAAGGTCAATTTTGATGTTTATCTACAGTAGAATATGTACTTCTCAAGATTCTGCAATTTGCTAGCGTGTGGGTTTTTTAACTGTAAAATCCTCCGAGGGAGCAGTTGCAATGTAACACACTGCTCTAGGTTCACTCTGGATTGATTTCTACACACTACATGATTTCTACAGCACCTGTAGACAGAAGAGTTTCAAAGCTCCTCTCAGAGCGAGATCTCACTAGGAAGTGAAATAATATTGTGAGAGTTCAGAGCAGGAGCTCTGGATTTATCAGAGGCAAGCCCAGGGTTTCCTTCTCTTGCATTCTCCATTCTGAGATGTAAAAATTCAACAGACTGAGCATTTCCAAAATATGAGATCCACTCATTAGCTAAAAAACTATACTTACAGTCAGCTGTGAGGATTTGTCCATCATAGAGAAAGAGCTCAAATGTTCAAAAAGAGCTTTACAATTATTCTACAATAAAGACAAGGAAGTGAATCTATTCCTCATGTGAAATACCAAGCAAATAAACTGTCCAGTTTATGCCCAGCCAAATGCTCAGAGAAGACTGGTATATTAAAGTTACCATGTATTTTTTTTAATTACTTTACTCCATAGAAATCCCAGTAGAGGAGAGCCATTTATTTACAACCAGTGCCATCTATAAGAACTGCATATACACTGCCTGGCAGGAGAGCAGACCAAACACTCAACTAAGTCGCACATACTTTTCGTTGAACAGCTGTAAGACTTTTCAAATCTATGTCCTAAGTACACAAGCTTTTTTTTTTTTTTCTGAGTAATATTTAAGTATTTTCTAAACTCCCCCTTTACTAACCATTGCTTTTATGCTTATTGTGCCTAAATAACCATTGGCTAGCTGCACAGGGAACTGATCCAGATGAAAGGTTACCTTTACTCCCTTCCTCCCCCAGTTTTTGTGGAAATCACTGGTCAAGAGCCTTACTGTACTTTAGAGAAGGTGCAGAACATGGCAGAGAGTATCTAAGCAGTGCTGTTACTAACCATGGAGAGCTCTGCTGTAATCCCAGAAACGTAAAGGGTAGAAAATTAACTGAAGAATTTGACACTCAGTCAAAAACAATCTTATAAAAAAAACCCCAAAGCAAAACAAAAAAAACACCCAACCCTAAAAACAACCAAAAACCCCAAAACTCCCAAAAACCCCTGAACAACCAAAGGTGGTGCAGATACCAAACAGCTCAATACTGCAACCAAGCTACTGAGAACTGTGGTACTTGTGAAACGCAGGGAAGTTCCCTGAAAACGCGGGCTGGACTGACCTGTGGCACAGCGCTGCTACCAAATATGCCTTTGAGGATGGCAAGGCACCGTCCAACAATGACATCATCACTGATATTTTCCATGATCCCTGCAGCTTCTCCTGCTACCAAGGCCAACAGAATTGGTGCTGAGGGAGGGTGGGGAAAAAAAAAAAAAAAAAAAAGAGAGAAAAACAATTGAATTGTTGAAATTGAACATTTTAATTGGACAAGTTGGTCTTGAATAGGCATGGATCTGTAGCTAGGTCATGAGGCTAAAAACTAAACAAATCCAACAAAAGAAGTCCTAAATCTTCCACCATCATGTCAAATTACCAAAAGGAAAATGAATTAATATATGCTATGGTACTATTTAGAATTATCAAGAGAAATTAAATACACGCATTAAGAAGCGGAACATGGAGAAGTGAGGAAAGGTTTTCTTTACTAAAGACACCACTTGTTTGACACAGGAGTTTCCACTGGGATTTAACAGTCATCTCTGCTACATTTAAGGGAACTTAATACCTTCCAAACAATATAATTTAGGTATTATTACCAGCATAGCAATTAAGTTACCAGTATAAGTACTTCACTCATACAAACTATCCAGATTTCTTCATTACCAATGCACATTCACCTTAAATAATCTCAATGGAGAGGAAACTATGAACAGTAGAACAATATCCAGAAAAGCAGCAATTCTGAGAAGAATTCAGAAGTCAAATGCACAAATAGCTCAGCTGCCCATGTGATACTGTGATGAAAAGTGTTAATGCGATTATAGGATATACAAATACATGAGGTCATTTTACCTCTGACTACCCATGGTAAGACTAAGCATACATTTTTGGTCACAAATTCAAGGAAAATCTTAGGTAAGTATGGAATAGCTACCAAAATAACCCAATGGCAAGAAACATGCATTTACAAGAAGTGACTCAGACATGAGCAGGGTCACTTAATGAAAACTCTCAGCTGATCTTTCTCTTCCTGAAGATATTTACAGAATCACAGAATGCTTAGGTTAGAAGGGACCTTAAAGATGATCTAGTTGCAACCTTCCTGCCCTGGGCAGGGACACCTTCCACTAGACCAGGTTGCTCAAAGCCCTGTCCAACTCACGTCAGGTTCAGCCATGAGACTTCTGGGCAAAGCCTGCAAGCTCTTCGTTTGATGGTTAGGGCATCTCTGCTTTGCCATCCCTTGGGTCTCCAAAGCTCTTGCTATCAATTTGGAGCCCTGCCCCTGCAAACTATGGAAAGATGGCAGGGTGAGGGAGATGGATAAGGGTGAGGAGGTATAAAACCCAGGTTGTGCCTTTGCTTCTGCACATAAGGGCAGGGTAAGGTGGTTGCTTTGTAGCCAAAGCCATGGGGGTGTCTATTCCCTATGACACCTGCCAAGACCCAATAGAAACAACTGGAACAGTAACAGAATAGGCAAATATGTCAGATTTTTAAGGATCTGCTTTCAATATCTTGGCATCTGAGATGAAACAAAGATTTGTGTACAAGCATAGACCCCAAAACCAGCCCAAAGCCTTTGGTTGCTTAGGTCTCACTCTGGTACTCTGTGTCTACCAAGCTCCAACCTTCCGTCTTCCTCAACTATCCCAAGATTTTTGTGAGGGAACTGGGCTCTTCCTTGAGATTCCTAACTCAAAATCCAGTTGGAAGACCCCTCAATTTCCCCAGCTTGTTATGCTTCTTCAGCCCCCTGTAGCTGAAACATCAAGCACCTGGTACCTCAGAGGTTGGAGCCCAAATCCTTATCAAAAAAATCCCAAATGTTTATCAGTCCAATGGAGAGAAACCTTGGAGCAGGTTCAAGTCTTCCATGCAAGGATGGCAGCTCCCAGGCTGATGAGGTGTCCTGTCCATGGAGTAGCACATGGGAGATGACAGCAAGTTCCAGGACAGGGAAGTGACATCCATTAAAAAAAATTAGGATAATTAAAGCAGCATGGTTTGGTGGGTATTTTTGTTTGGTTTGGGTTTTGGTTTTTTTTTTGGCAGTGGCTCACAGAACTGAAAAGCATCAAGATGGTGCTCTGCCAGCCAGAGGCGCTCAGGATTTGGCCACATGGATTGTACCAGGTCAAGGACTGCACTCACCCTAGAAGCTCTCTGTTTTTAAGGTAGTTGGATTGATGCTACATAAAGCAAAGGAGCACTGCAAAGCCAGTCTGACCCTGTGTTCCCCCCAGACAAACCCCCCAGCTGAGATTTGAGTGTACTCTCATCAGAGCTCAGCACTGAGAACTTCCACCATCAAACCCTGCATGGAGAAGGTGAAGAGTTGCCGTTGGCCAAAGGAGGCTTAATTCAAGCCTCTCTGTCCCCATTCTGATGCCAACTCAAAAGCATCATGGCTGAAGCCCTGGACCACTTGCCCTGGGCAACCTGCCATGTGATGCTGCCACAAGCATGGGGAGGAAAACACTTCTCCTCCTCTTGCCAGGGCAGAAACATCTCCAAGCCTGCAAAGCAACAGTACCCACTGCTTTATCCTAAACTATTTGCAAGTCATGGCATAGCTTGTTGTGACCGGGAAGCACATGGGACTGCGAGGTCTCCTGGCTAAGAGGGATTGAGGCTGTCCCCTGTCGCAATGCTGAGCCACCTCCTACTGCCCCTGGGGATAACTCCTAAATTTAGTAAAGGAAATACTACAGCTAGAAAGAGACATCAAGCATATTGAAATGGGAAATTAAGTCCTTGTTAAAAATTCAGCTTTAACTTTTGTACCAGTTCCCAAAATGAATGATGAATTCCTTATATCCTCATGTATAGATAGATCCTCTGACATACATTCCCATCAATTTACTGATCTTTAAAGAAAACCGGCTGAAGTTCAGTTGTGATATACAGGCTGGAAGATTCAATAATATATTCTGGTTAAAATCAGAAGTCTTTGAAATTCTGAAGAAGTTAGACTAGTAATGCTGTTACTACTACAAAGGTAACTGCACTACTCAAGATACAATTACAGACACTTCAATATGCAGGACCTCTGGGACTAGAAGCAGTTTATTAGTGAGAAGAGATACAGGATTTTTCCCCTAGCTAAACACCATTTTATTGAAAGATCAAGCCTGGGCTTTCAGACAATTGCAGAAAAGAACAAATAAGTGGTTTCCTGTGATCCATAGGCATTGGGAGGGTTTGGGGTTTTTTTGTCATTTGAGCCACAAAGTTCTTCCCAGTTTGCCATCCTTGACACAACAAGATCCCTGAACTTCTCAGCAATTATTCAGTCAACATATTTTTCTTGATGGAACAACTACATATTCAAAATGCGCCTTCCAGTGAATTTGTTCACGGAAACTTGTATTCAGAAAACCCTAACGTATTTTTATGGAAATCTTGCCTTTCCAGGCATGAGACCCTGTTTTGTAAGCATTTATCCAGACCTGAAAATGTGCTTGATAAGTCATCTGGATTAATCGAGAACTGTAACAGCAAGCCAGAAGGCTATAGTGGCTATTTTGCCACACAAACACCGAAGTGCTGCTCAGAAAAGCTTCATGCATGATGAGCACGTGTCACTGCTCCACAAAAAAAACCTCTCCTTGAGGCAGTGATGTTTACTGAACCTGGACACCAAACAGCAAGCAGAGGATGCGGTTTAGCCAGAAATCAGTGAGTAACCACAAATCTATGACAGAGAAGGGGCTTCATCTTTTTCATCACATATCTCTAGGAAAACCAGAAGAGTCAGGCAGGAAAACAGAGACTGAAATGCCTGTAGACTTCAGAAAGCACTGAGTGCTTCTGCCAGGAGTTCCTCTACCCTGTGCTGAGGAGTGTCTCCATCTTAAAGTGCGTCTACACGTCTAATACGTGACAATAACCCACCAGTACGGCACAGCAGGAGCAAGCCATGTTAAAATGACAAAAGCAGATACATAAACAGCCCTGTTATTCAAGGCTCGTAACTTGCATTTCTCCAGTCAGTTATTATCAGACATTTTAAGAATTAAATACTCTAGAAAGGCATGTTCCTTGTGCAGCAAATTTCTCCAGTTAAAAGAAAAACTTGGCCTGCCCATGACAGAGTGGAAGAAAACCCACTGGTACTTTAAAGGGTCATCTGCAAGAAAAATAACTCACTCAGTATGCTCACTGTATATACACCTTTTCTTTTAGTATGATAAACGGCAATGAGCAGAACCAGTATGCTTACTGAAAGTATCTTCTGACAACCTCTTGTGACAGACACCAGCTGCAAATGAAACAAAACTACTACAGCTGGACTTTGCCACTAGAAACAGGCAGAGCAATACCTTTTGCCTACTTAAGCCTCTTCTAAAGAGGAGTTAAAAATTATCTGTCCGTCTGAGACCCACTGTCTACAGTCATAGTCGCTTTGCTACTCAAAACAGGAACCAAGGTCACCTGTTCAATAAACTAGAGACACCACAGGTTGCCTTTCCTGAAGGGCATACTGCATCTTAACCATCGGGACAGGCCTGCAGCTCATCAAGCTGGAACAGTAACACTCAGCTCCATTCCTCTTGCTATCACAAAGCCTCTAGTCTGCTCCACTGAAGTCTGAGTGTTCACTACTCTCTAAAGAATGTGCTGCACCCCCCTGAGAAATCGAAGGAGGATAACCTACAAGCATTGAGTTCGGCAACTCAGCTGCATAAGAGAATACACAAGTCAACAGCAACCCTTACATCTGAAAAAAAAAAAAGTTTTCTTGGTTAGTTCCTGGACACTTAAGCTTGCAACACCTTAAGTCACCTGTACCAGAAAGAACTTGAGGTTGCAGATGAAAGGGACTCATCTACTGTTATCAAATCATCCCACATTAGACAGACAGCCCCTTCAAAGAGGTCTGGCTTCAAACTGTCAGTTCAACTTGAAAAACATCCAGAAAGCTGAGGGTTTCAAAACCAAGCCTCAATTGGATGCTTGGTTAGTGAAAGGGGGGGGAAGAGTTCAATGTTCCACACGGCCAGAGAGAAACTCAATTTCAAAGAGACTTATGAAATAAGAAATGGCTTTTAATTCAGAAATGCTGCAGAGACAAATCGATCTTTTCTTGGAGAACTAAATGCCTCCTCCTGAGAGAGCAGATACTTAAGTAAGACAACACTCCTCTCTGGCAAACAGAAAAAATGTTATTCACTGCATTTCCGAAACACTATATAAACATGTTAGATTAGGCTTTGGGGTTTTTTTCTTAATATAGCACAATAAAAATAAAAAAAGTTAAGTTTTTCAGAATACCAATGGCAATTGCATAGGTGCTTAATGGAAGTAACCAAGATAACACTGAGGAAGTCACAGGACAACTTCACCAAGGTGCAAGACAATAAAGTGACCTATAAAAATGCAAGTGTTACAGTAGATAGCTAGGAATGCAATTTAACAGACATAGCCTGGAATTCATCATTAGTAAACCCATAATTGGGTTTACCCATAATTCTATGACTCTAATTGTCCATGTTCTGCCCTAATTTACTACAGAACACTTTGCAAGTCAGTGGTGCTTTCTGCTTCCATTTGTCTTCCTACAAATACTATCTTCTTATAATATCCATATATGAACACTAATAGCATCACAAAAAGTGCTCTTTTTTAGATCTTAAACTACACAAATAAGACACTGGCAAAAGTAGACATGCACCACAACTACCTTTGTACAGGTTCCAAAACAAGAAAAGTTCTCCTCTGCTGGCAGTAGTGCTACCAACATGACCAAACAAATTGACACTTGGATCCCAGAAGACACGATCAAAACACAACACAACCTAGAAACAGAAAGAATCAATAATTAGAAGTGCACAGAAAAAATTAGAATAAAGGCAATTACACTCATTGATATTTATTCCTGGAAAGATCAAAGAAAGGAAAACACTGAGTCAACCTACTTCTGATATTTAACTATTTAAAAATTGTGTGGAAAACAAAGAAGAGGTCCTTACAGCCCTTCAGCTAGTTTTCAGCATCAAAATCTAGCACAAGAGCAGTGGAAAAAACATTCTTCCTCTCATCCACCATACGTACTCCGTACACATTTCAGATTCTACGTATTGCAACTGCTGCAGTTCCCTCAATGACCAAGTCACCTTGTTAAGGTTGCCAAATCCCATACGCTGCACTGCGGAAGTTTTCCACTCCGGAAGAGGCGGCACAAACTGCACTGCTGGAGGCTGCTGTTTCAACACTCCCAAGGGAAGAGTACACAGCACAGCATCGCATTTGTAAATGAAAGTCTGGCTGGTAGATCGGGTATTTACAGCTATCACTTCACAGCCTGGAAAGGAGAGAGAAAACCAATTATTTAATAGGCTAGGAGGTAAGCGCATTGGATTAAAAATGAAAGAAGCAATCATAAAAACATATCCACATCAGAATGGAGACAGCTTTACATTAACAATTACTTAACTTGTAGGCAAGTGAATGTTACTGGCCACATAGCTCAGTTCCAGAAACTGCAAGTTTATACAGCATCTGAAAATGGCCATACTGGGGAAGCCTAAAGGTTCATCTAGGCCAGTAAATGATATTTAAATATATGCATAAATAAATAGCAAGTAGAGAGCGAGCATCTCATTGAGTTGCTCTCCCACTTGACAGTTCCCCAAGTCCAATGTTTTAAAGAACAAAGAGATGTACTCCTTCCATTTGAGTCCATATTACATGAATTTATACTTCTAATACCAGATCCTTTGGCACCAAGTCTTAAGCAGTCCAAGACCTCTTATTTCAAAGGCTTGAGTCAGTGAAGTAGAGAAATGGGAGAACAAATGTAAGCTTGTCCATCAGTATATACCACCGAAAAGGATGGCATCAAACCAGCCACAAAAATAAGCAAAAAACATTAAAGATTTATTAATCCCTAACAGATTCCTACACAATTCATCACAGTAAGAAACATGGCTGTCTAACCCAAAACGCACAATGGGAGAGTTTTTACAAGATCAATCCTTACGTCTGCTTCCAGAAGCACTGAAATTTAATTTCTATGATCATACTCCTTCAGAGCAGTTTTCCGGAGGAGGTGTTTTCATTTACCTGATGCTGTGTAGCGAACCTGTCGAACTGCTGTGTTTAATTTAATATCCAACCCTTCTGCCAAGGCTACAGGCACACAGGAATAGCCATTCCTCACAGTCAAGTGACTGCCAGTGAATTCAAAGTCATCATCCTAAAATGAAGACGCATAAAAAGCAGGCACTTATAATGAAGTCACATAATTAAATAGAAAATAATCAGCAACTCTACACAATGGCAAGATTTTTTCAAAAACTTATTCAAAGAGTCAGTTGAATAAATTCAAAATGCATTCTGTTTATTAGTCAAGTAATAAGTACAGCAACTTTCAGTAGGCAGTTTTATTAGAGATTGTTTTGGCACTAACAAAAAGCTGTCTGGAATTCCATCAGCAAATAATAATCACATAAGAGCTCAGTATCTGTATAAAAGCAGATAGGACGTAACTGTTTAGAAATTGTTAACATAGAGAAGTTTCCATGAGAATGAAATAAATATAGCTTAAGCTTTCAGCGTATTGCTGAATGAATACATTGATTGGCTACCTGGTCCCAGTGCTTCAGAGAAAGCGTAGACAGGGGTGTAGCATTAGCAAATTCTAGGTTTGCAAAATGCCAGTCGAGTATTTGCCTGTCTCTTGATGACAGATAAACGTCACTAGAAAAAAAAACCAAACATAACACAGAGTCATTTAGTTTGTTAGAGCAGGATGTTGCAAATGCATTGTTTTTGAAAATTTATTCACAATCTTTTTTTGAGTCCCTCCTGAGTGGATAAATAAAAAAAAAATTAAAAAAGAACACAAGCAGATCCTGTTTCAAACATTGGGACCTCCTTCATGAAAGCTGACTAACAAAACCCAGCAAATTCACATTTTCAGAGTTTGAAATATAAATTTTAAAATTCCATAAATAATGGCTAAATAGCATGTATGAAGATGACAAATAAAAACCTAGTATAATCACAGAGCATAAAATAATAATATTCTGCCAAAATAAGCAAGATCGGTATGCTAATCATTATTGACAAGAATTTCGAACTTCAAAGGCTTCCTGAGATCAGGCACTGGTTACAGTAAGGATTTCTACTGAAATGCACCTAAGCTAAGAACCACCTTTTTTGTCTGAGTCACCTCTAAAAACCAGGTGAGTTTCAAAGATGAGTTCTAAAGCTGAAGAAGCTGACACTTAATGTTTGTACCTTCCTAACCCGTTAAGTCACCATAATTGAAACTCAGTGAAAAGTAGCAAAAATCCTGCTTTCCCAAGTATTTCTATAGTTTTTATCTTTACCTTGGTGGATTGGCTTCAAGTTCTTGTAACTTCTCTTCCAGCTTTCCTTGTGTTTCTGCCAATTCATCATACTCCTAATAAGATTAAAAGCTAACATTAAAATCAGTTTACATGTAAAAGAACTTAAAGACATCATATAGCACCAGACTAGACCTAATCTCTAGAAGAATCAGTGGAAGATTCACTGTTTTGGTGGAATCTAAATCAAGTTCTTTATTTTTTTTAAACTTATAATCCACCATACTTTCCCCTTCTGCTGTTCAGATATGCAGAAGTCTACACCACACTGCAGAAAATATCAGTATGCTAATATTTCAGGAATTTATACACTCAGATCTGAAGAACATGAAGGTCCATTACAGTCTTGGTATTTCAAGGGTTCCTATGCTACTGAGAGCTTTTTCATAATGCACCAAAATGTTATATCTATTCTTTTTTCTCTCTTAAAAGATTATAGTTAATATCGAACACAGAAATTTCCAAAGCATGCAAAAGGCAAAGATATGATTGAATTCAAGCCTCTTTCAGAGTTTTGCTTTGTTTGTTTTTCTTATTTCAGACAACAACCCTTTTCCTTCGAGGCAGAATAATTTGGAGTGTCCAATAATAGCGACAAGAGCACAAAGCTGTTCATTGGTGACAAAACAGCAGAGCTACTACTCATGTATACACAAACACACTGAGCTTCCAGATAAAGGTACCTATATTCTGTTGAACAAGCACCTGAAAATGATCCTTGGTTTCATCTGACCTGGGCTAAGCAAGGTGTCTTTCACTATCATAGCAAGAACAGTTTCTATGGTTTCCTTTCTAAGGCGTATTTCTACATCAAAATACAGAGGGGGGAACCAACTCTGCCTGTCAAGACAGAACTCTGTAAATGGTAACTTTTGGATAGAAAGAAGTCTTTTATTCAGGAAACTGCCTTTTTAACCTTAAAGAGCACCTCTCTCCAATACGGATTTTATTTCCAGACTTGTGAGACCTAGCAGTACTAAAGACTAAGCCTGACATAAAATTTAGCCTTCAAAACACTAAATGCTGTCTGACATGAGCTAGCAGAGTTACCTAAAATTGAGCCTTCAATACGTTACTACTCTCCATCGTGAGCCATGAAAGGATGGGCATCTAAAGGTACTTAATGCAGCCCTGTTATCACATTACAACCAAGAGTCACCATCAATCACGTTCTTTTGAGAGTGCTGGACTGGGGTGAGAGATGTGGAAATATTTCTATTGGCTAATTTTATCTGGCTGATGAAGCCCTCAGAAGCCACTAAAGTGCTGTAGGTACGTCACACTTTACCTTGCAAAGAGCAGTCAGATCTCTGTGTTTGCTTTTCACAAGGAACTCTGCTGTAATATCCCGAGGTGGCTTCACTTCTGATGCTTCCTTATACTGTTGATGAAGTTCTTTAATTTTCTCTTTTAAATTCACCATCTTTTTCAGGTGGAGTAGTAACAGGAAGAAAGAAAAGAAAAAGAAAAAAAAAAAAGAGGGAAGGTAGATTTCATGCAAGTTCCTGTGTGAAATGAATATTCATCTCAAATTATGCCATTACACCAAAGACATTTCCTGGCATTGGCAAATATTACTTACATATGCAATTCTACCTCCAAAAAACCACAATAAATACCACCAACCCCAAAGTAATATGGCTTAAACCTAACATCATTGATTTCTTCCAAAATACGTTGCAAGGTATTTTGTAACAACAAAAATACGCTGTTAGGATAGGAAAGCTGTCCTCAGTCATTTTTAATTTGAGAAACTTCCATGGCGAAGTACCACAACCACAACAAAAAACATTTAAGTGGGCCTAAAACTCTGTTTCTACACTACAAATCAGATTTGTGCTAAAGAAAGTAAACATTTTCAAGATGTTTACTTGTTACCTCAAAAGCCTCAGTAATTATCAACCTTTCTGAGGGAAGCTATGACACAACACTGTTATGTTATGTTTGTCCTCTCCCTTTCTTTTCCCATATTTATGTTTAACAGTCTTCTTGACGATCTCCTGCCTAAACACTTATGTGCTTCTCCTCAAAAATGGAGACTCCTTTGTCATAACAGTGCTCCTAAGCAGATCTAAAATGAACAGATACATTTTAGAACAGCATTAATGGCAACTTTCTGATATTTCTCCATGGAAGTTTTTGTACATTTTGCCTCTTCCTGATAAAGATAGTGCTCTTGCTCTAAATGTCATGATCTGACCTTGTTAAGAAGATCTTTCAATTCCTCCTGTGTTTTCACAATTTTTTTCCAGTGTTCGATCTGCTCATCCTTCACATGCTTCTCCTGCAATCTGGAAAAGGTAAGAAGCGAGACTCAGGTCAGTATAAAATCCTCACATTATTGAGAAAACTCATTATCACAATCTAATTAGTGTAATGCAATAAAAGCACATGATGGGATTTTTTAGTGAACACTCTTATGACAATCAGAAAATTAATACAAGTTTCTGTAAATAAAGTATACTTTACCAGCTAAACATGAGTCTGAAGTTACCTACTATTAAAAGGTGTATTACAAATGCCATCAACTTTCAAGTAGCCTAAGTGGGCTGTATGTACACCAATTCATACTAAGTCAATTATCTACTATCAGTTACTGTAGAAGTGATTTTCAGGAAGCTTTCAAGAAAAGATGTTTGCTCCTTTAACCATCTTCAGTATATTTCGCTTCAATAAATGAGAAACACGTACACAAACGAGAACTCAACAGAGACCAAAGAGCTGTATTAATTGTACAATACTTAACCTAGGAGCATCACAATTGTTTCAAGTATCTTTTGGAAAATCTTCCACAAAATACGAAAGCCTACCACAAGAGAGAAGTCACTTACTGTATGACAACTTCCAGAGCCTGACCTAGGGAGACAGGCTTATTATTGAGAACATTAAAATCCAGCTGATGACTGAGATAGGAGGTAGCTTCCAGTAGACGATTAAATTCTTGCTCCACCATTTCATCTTTCTCTTTTGGAACCTAGGAGTCAAAAGAACAAACTTTCTTCTTAATAACCTATTCATAAATAAAAAAGAAAACATATAGGTCACCAAAGCTCAAAGCCTCGGAGACAAGACACTCCAGTAGTACAAAGAAAATTTAAAAAGAAATCATAACGATGACACAGTGCAGTCTAAATTCACATCACCTGATAACAAACTCAAAATGCTACCATTCCCCAGATAAGACAAATGAGAAAAGCAAGGTGCAGAGAAATTCTTAGAGCAGTGTTCAAAACAAAAAGGTATCACATGCCCTAGAACGACACTTCAATAGCGCAATAAAATGTAGCTGAGATTAGCCCTCATAAAAAGAAATTTAATACCCGTAGCTCTCCCAAATGGTGAGACACAGTTTGTTCAACACTAAGTCACTTTGCCAGGATGACTGGCCAAAGAGCTACAAGAAAAGCTGGAAAATCATGGTGACAACCAACCTCTCTTGCATGAGGAAAGCAAACCAATTTATGGGCACTTGAAGATTTCCTTACTGGAAGGTGTATTCATCAAAGCTCCAGAAGCTTGTCCATGTGACAAAGGACCACTCTGATGGTATGATGGCTTTATGCCATCACAAAGCTTTAGAAGGCCTATCATCGCAGAGTGAGGTAACAGACAGAAATCTTTTAGAGTGGTCAGCGTGACTAAGAATTATCAATCCAGCTTTTCCAGGATGACGGAGGAATCACTGCAGGGCACTTCCAGAATGGTGGTGTTTGACTGTACTGAAGACACTCATTTAAATAGCATGTGCTGCTGCCAGCATGGAAATATCTGTTAGGTGATGGTGGCTGCATGTGCTCAAAAGAGCAACCATCCCATGGTATTAACATCTGTTAAATGCAGTCCAGGTTAAACAAAGGATAGAGAGAAAACACTGGGAAAGGGAAAAGGGAAAGATCAGCATGAAAATGAGAAAAAAAAAAAGTATACACTTCAAAAAGATTGGGAAAGCTCTTGGATGACTGCCATCAGAACAAAAATAGCTCGAGATGCTGGTAACAGTGCTAAGCCTATCGCCATAACTATCAGATGTCTCTTTTCCAACTGTTATTCACACCTAACTCAAAGTATACTGTGTTGTCTGGGAAGCTGTATCAGTATCTCATTGCTCTAAGTAGGATTCCTCTTCCACTTCATGACTGGCCCCTCATTCTTGTGCCAATAGTTATCTTCTAGTTCTGTCAGTCTTTCTTGTCTAGCATTTTCCAGGCTGAAACACCAAGGTTCACAATTCGTAGTCACACTTCATCTCTTTGTACATATCATAAGATATGTATAGATCATAAGAAACTGATGATCACCACTTTTATCATATAAGCTTCATCTTCCAAGCTCCAGCTTAAGCATCTGTTATTACACAAGTCATCTGTGATGAAGTCGCATTGTTCAAGCATGCAGAGGTGGCACTGGAAAAACAGAAGTCAGCCAGAGTTGAAACTCAGATGCTGGAAGTAGGAGGGCAAGAAGAAGGGCTCTCTACATACACAACAGTAGAAAAAAGGAAGGATAATGCAGACTGCAGACCTGCTGTTGAACCTAGTGGTAATGGATATGGAAAAGGCTAAAGCACTGAATACCTCTGTGCCTCAGACTTTATGGATAAGGTCTGCTCTCAGGTCTCCCCAGTCTCTTCTTCTATCAGTGTAATCTCAACAAGTTGGAGGAATGGATTGACAAAAAACCCAGGAAATTCAAAGGCAAAGCCTTTAAACTGAGGAATACCTCCCATGCATCAAGAGAGGCTGAGGACTGTTGGGTATCTGTTGGGTATCACCTCTGAAGAAAAGGACATGACGATCCTGGTAGACAACAAATTGAAGATGGCATTACAAAATGCACACTTCCCAGCAACGTGAAGTTAGGGTGAAGAAAGGAAGAGAAACAACATTTTGCTATTCATATTGCCAACCTTTTTGTAGCTGACATCAGTACCTCATTCAGAAGCTCAGGTAGCTGGACAGGCAGTAGAACTTCCCAAAGAGTATTCAGAACTCTTAAATGAGTAAATTTTTGGAGGAAACCAACTCACCACAAATTAAGTATCTGAAACTTGTAATCATTAAGAGCCCACCATATCTGCAGAGACTTTGATTCCATCTTCTTCGGAAAGGAGTCTTTCTTAATTAGGTAACACCATGGTAAAGCCCAAATAATAACCACGCTTTAGAGGAGTGATAACTGAAGGTTTAAAACTGCTCAATCTTGGGTCACACTGTTATGAGCAGCGAGAAAGATTTATGCCTTCGGTGCATGGCTTAACAATGAGGATGTACTCTCAGCGTGTAACTCTTATGAACTTTTCCCTTCAGTAAAATGCAGATAGTGGAGAAAAGGACAGACTGACAGGAGCAGTTAACTATTGAAAAAGATACTTGTGTAGATGTGGAATGCCATCAAGACAGTAGCCAAGGTAAGGACATCTGATTATTACTTGTCCCTACATTTCTAGATGCATTCTCTGCTTTAGATGTCCAGATTATTATCTGATGTATATTGTTGTTCAAGGAAATCTGATACTTCCCTGGAAGGCTGGGGAATTAGCTAATTTAAAAGCAACAACTTGCCTCCTGTCAAGCACCACGAAATCTGCCAAAATGGCACAGGGAGACGTGGAACATGAGTGCTTTTATTTGAGACAAGACAGGCTGTGCTCTTGGCTGCTACTGGTGCACATAACTTGAGAAGGTTTTGAGGAGGAGTGGGGCAATGCATGAACTTAGGCTCAGGGACAAGTTGAAAGGAAAACATAAAGGGACACTATGGAGTTAGTAGACATTCTATTGGCAAGGTGAGAAAAACTTCTGCTCCCTAAAAAGGTACTTAGAAGTTACCTGCCTGATACTCATTAGTAACCCAATGCAAATGCACCTTTGGAAGAAGCATATCCTGTAGAAAGTGATTTCAGCTGTTTTTCACTGTTTATAAAGTAGTACTTTGATAGTGTCTTTTCAGCAATTGCAGCAGGAAAAATATACAACAGAAGCAGCCTGACAGCTATTTGAGGATAAACTTTATATAGTGAAGTGAAAAACAAAGTACTAAAGATTTGAAAATACTGCAGAAATGGATAATCAGCATTTAATTGTTAGCAGTGCTAATAATAAAGGAAAAAGTGTGGCAACATTAAGAAAAGGAAAGGAAAGATTAGTGAAATAACTGCCCTGGTGTAGTAGCATCATGGAGTATCTTAAGTGAAAACAAGAGAAAGACAAAATAAGCAACTCAGCTTTCAGGTACAACCACAATCATCTGAGCAAGCAAATTCAAATTTTCTTTCTAGAGCTTCCACTTTCATTTACTCTTATCATACGAAGTGACCTTTAACAGTTTAGATGGTCATGAGTTACAGGCAATACAGAGATACGGTGGTAACAGATAGATGCACAGATACTGAATGTCACATAATCAAGATTGTATTTTGACATTTGTGGTATCCAGGTGGTAGATGACCAATATTTTAATCTTCATTACTCACACCACAAATTCTCTTCCTAATTATCTGTCATGGTCAAAATGGCTTCAATTTGGATAGTTTAGTCAAATGTTCCCGAAGCTATACATGGCAGACATGCTAGGAAACAAGGAGCACACAGAGTCAATCTTATATATTTATTTATTTTTAAGCAAAGGAATAGCATTCTGGTTCAATACGTAGTCACCAAGACAATACTCCACCCAGGATAAGTAGCGTTTGACTGCAGTACAGGAAACACTACAGAGTAATCAGAAGGAATATTCCTTTTCAGACACTCTGCTCCCATTGGCTGCTTCTGTAAGTGCCTATATCTGATAAGCAAGAGAAATTCCTAGACCACAGGAGCCGCATATGCCCCAGGGGCTTTGCTGGACCCACGTGATCTACCTGCTGCTTACTGCCAACAGAAGGGAGCTGGGTTACAGGAAGGAAAGCTGCATGGTCAAGCTGCAGGCATCACAGTGCTTCATTGGGACAATAAAAGCATGGAATAAAGTGCAAAGTAGCTGAACTGTTTATCTTATTGGGTGGTGTTAACTGAGGGAGCGTCTTCAAATTGCACAGGGATAAATTGCCCCACTGCAAGCTACTGAGGTGGAAAACAGCTGGGAGAGGGGAACCACAGCAGTGCAGAGGCAGGCATGGTACAGGCAGGACAGGCTTCAGAAGGAGAGCACTGACTGCTAGAATTGCCTACAATGCCTTGGTAGATTTCCCTGAGTTTATTATAACACCCTATTCACTCATGTGTAGTAAGAAAAGCTGCAGGTGCCAGGTTACAACAGGTGTGTGCCAAGAATCACTTTTTCAGGTCTCTAACAGAAGCTCAGTATTCTCATCTGTCTTCCTTACTCTGAGGATCAAGTTTTAAGATTCAGGAGGTAAGAACACTTCCAATCAATACATGTGTGAGATTCAGCACTAAACTAGCATCCATCATATTTACCTCTAACAGCACTCCTTAACATTACAGCAGAAAGAAATCAATCTAATTAAGTTTGTGAATCCCAGCTCTAGAACATTACTGCTGAACTGTGGCATGCGTTCAACCAGCTAGCATTAGTTAAGTCAATTCTTTAAAAACTAACATATAAGTAGAACAGCCAGAACGAGCTTATTTCAGGGAAAAGGAGTAACAGCAACAACAGCAAAAGCTGGAGTGCCAGCACAGCAGACATCTGTTTCCAAGACAAGTGAGACAGACAACTCTCTAAGGAAAAACAGTAATGAATTTGGGAAGAATAAATAGGAACTTAGCTTCCACAAAATCTCTGAAATTCAAAGTTAAAAACTCATGTGGAAAGGACAGGTTTTAGAAGAATAGGTGCAGATATACTAGAATATTATTACACTGCCTAAAAATGGATACACACTTTCAATACTCCCTCTCCCGCTTCATGGAAGCTATCTTGTGCTATACTAACCAGTAACAAATACACTTAAGATACTATTTCTCTTCAAAAGGTTCATGAAAACAGTATCAGACTTACAGCTTGTCCGTTTGCTTCATAAAGTGGGCATTTTTGTTTGATCTTAGCCAATTCCATATTCACTTGTTTGCTGACCACAGCCATGGGATTTCCTCCTGGAAAACATTTTGTACAGTTAACAAGAGTATGCCTGCAAAGTTTGTCTGCAATTAATTAAAAAATCCACAGCTAAAGCTACTTCAGATACTAAACACACCAACTCCAGCACAAAATGTGTTCCATCATAGTAACACTGCCAAAGGTCTACTCTTCAGCAATTCTCGCAACAGAGTCACGAAAAAAACCCTACCCACCAACTCTTAAGGGACCATATGTAAAAAGGGTTGCTTATAAAAGCAGAGTCCTAGGGTGGCAGCAAGCTTAGTATGATTCAGAGTTTATAGCTATAAACGTATCTTCAAAACTTTTGCAAGCACAGTGTTTGAAAACCCAAGGAAAGCTCCCACAGCTGCACAGTAACTTCAGGAGCTTTTGAAAGTGCGGTGGCATGGAGCTGGAATCTGAAGAATTCAATCTCTAAAATCTTAGTGGAACTCCAAGAAGTTACATCTGTGAATACAATCTATGAAGATGAACCATGTACACCAACTGTACCTGGAAGATATGTAACTAAACAGGCAAGAAAACAATCTGGATGATTCTACTTAGAAACATGAGAAAAGCAGAAAGCATTGACTTCAAGCATCCAGAATCACTAAACATCAAAGCCTCTGTACGGACAGCAGAAAGAAGAAGTATGGACACAAACAAGAAATGACATAGGAAATTAACTTTGGGAAAAGTTTTTCAGATCTAGCTTCCCAATGTTCTCTGATTCTGCAATCCAACCAAACCCAGAGCCTGAGCTCAAAAGAGGGGGCAAGTTCAGCCACCGTACCTTCCTTGGTGTCTTTAGAGAGGTGACTGAACAAGCAGAACAGAGTTTTGAAGTAAGTCTCAATAAGTTAATGTTTCAATTTCAAGAACCTACAAATTTTTAGTTCTTCTACAGTTTACTAACAAAACCAGATAAGACCCCATAACTTCAGTCTTTCACCTTCTCAAACCACAAGCCCAATCCATTCAGTAGCCTTCCCTCCTCACATCACCTCAGATTCAGAAACATGAAGGATGACCTTCAAACGACCTCTTTCACTACAGGAATCTTTCGTTCTCCATAGCATATGCTGCCTTGTTCAAGGCAAAGGGTAGATTCTTTTGGAAAGGAAAGAGACTTGATGAATTAAATATGAAAATATTACAGTATTTCACTGGGCAACCTTAAATCTGTTTTATCAGGACTGTGCAACTCCAATACTCTTTGTCTGGAAACAGCGTCTGTATGCAATTTAAGACAAACAGTAAGTTTTGGCAGTCAGTAAAACTCAGGTTTTATAATATTTTATCATTTCAATGCATTACTGAAGGGTATTCCACACTAATACCTGTCCATCTTCTTAGCTCTTCTTATTGGCATTATTTTTACAGCTACTTTTGAAATCACTTATAGAAAGGACTTTCAGGGCTTAAATCCTGACTTCAAGAAGAGATTCCTCTTTAGAATGGCTCTGCTCCTCATTCTCTCTCCTCCCCTTTTTTCCAGTGTAAGTGAAAACACACATTCCATCTCTTTGGGGTCTCTCCCATCTTTGCTATTTATTTGCTCTTATTTACCTTGCTCTTAGCTACTCAACTAATCCCCCTCACTTCATTACTACTTCACCATGTTCAATTTCAGCTTATACTTTGGAAGATCCAAGGGACAGCAAGAGAGTTACCAACAGTCCACAGCTCAGAGGCCAGTGGCAGCTGGATAAAGCAGCTTTAGAAAGACTTGCTCAGCAAGTGCAGGGAATCCTATGCAGATACCAGCTTAAAGGAACTGGGCAAAGGAACAGACACACAAAAGGACAGTATGCCAATGAAAGAGCAAAGAATTCCATTAAGCATGAGTGAACTGTAAAAAGAATGGATCTACAACAGTTTGATGACATGACAAGCACCTTTATGACTTCAGTGACAATGACAGCTACGGCACCAACAAAAATCCCAGCTGCCAGGGATTCCATCAACAGGCTGCCATCTGTTTTGAAGGTTCACTGATGAAAAATGTTAACTACCAAAGAGACTGAACTAGAACATCTACTTTGTTTTAGTTTTTTAACCACGGCCCAATTATTTGGCCTTGAAAGGAAACAGAATAAGGTTTCAGATTGAAACAGCTTGTATCACAATTTTCCTCCCCATTTATTTTTGTTTGAAAAACTCACCGAGTCCTGTTACTACCATTGCTCCTAGATCAGCCACGTAGTTCCCTTTGCGAAAGGTAGCAACTCTTCCTCCTACTCGGTCCTTTTAAGAGAACAATATAATAAATCTCTGATAACATTTGGCAGTACATGTCACTTAAATATAATCACTGAAACTTCTACAGAACATGGTTTACATACTCTCTTACCCAAAGGTTCAGTAAATATAATGTACGCTTTTCCAAGAACCTCTGCAAATGAACACTTCACCTCAATTAATTTGCCTAAGTTAAGGAATAAAGTATTTAAGCCACATTTAAAACAAAAAAAAAAAAAAAAAAGAAAAAAGGGAAAGAAAAGAAAAATTATGCCTACCCCGATTTGGACAGATTTAACTATATTGACAGTAGGATCTACTGTAATTCTAAAACCAAACCTTCCTACCACAAAATCCAACAGCTATATAGGAAATGATTCAGCTGTGCTTGAGAAAACTAAGTTCTAGGGTTAGAAAAGCTATCAGGCAATTATCCCTATATTCCGCAGAAGTGCCAGCTAGCCAGCTATCATTCAAGAACATAACCACAAGTCAACAGCCCATTTTAGAAGCAGGAATGCAAGTTTTTGATTCTTGACACATACCACTGACTTAAGGATGACACTTATTTTCCTACCACTTTAAACTTAATAAGGGGAAAAAAAAAAATCCTTTCCCTATCCTCAGTCCAGCTACCAGGATGATACAGAGAAATATCAATTACAATTGGGCAAAGGTCCCAAACAGCTACTGTTTAATATAAAAATGTAACTTTGAATTTTAGTAATTAAATCAGCAAATCAGAAGCATGTAAACCAATAGTCTAAAAGTTACAGAAAATGAGTGGCACAAACAAACTATCATGTGAATCAGTGAAACGTGAATCAGTGAAACCTGAATCACTGAAATCATGTGTGCAAACACCAGACAGCCTTAAAAAATAAAAAACCCCTACAGACTACTGAAGAAGAGATGCAGCAGACTGGAGAAAAATGACTAAAAAATAATGCATTATTTTAAAACAGCCTCTGGCCAGATCTACATACTGGTTATAACAAAGATGAGTAGAACTAAACCCAAGTTACAGCACAGATCTCTTTTTTCCAGCTTAAAAAAAAAAAACAAAAAACAAACAACAAAAAGAAAAACAAAAACCAAACCAAACAAGCAAAAAATCCCACAATACCTTCAGGTGAGCAACAGACTCAACAACAGGATTGTTGTGCTCTCCTCTGCTCTAGCGGTATGGAGCCTGTGAAGCAGAGCCAGCAGCTCTTGCTCCCTAGTAACAAGAGCAGTACCTAGCAAAATTAAGACCCTGAAAGATTCCTCTAATTAAAATAATCTGCTAAAGTTTTTTATCTGTGCCAGAAAAGTGAGGAAGTAAGATAAGATAAATTTAATTTGTCAACAGATTTATTTTATATGAGTATGAAGTTGTTCTCAGTTGATTAGATCATATGAGAAAACCTTCAACTTTAAAAAAAAAGGAGATTCCACTTAGGGCTGGATATTAAAGAATACCTTATCACTAGAAGAACAATCAGCTAGTTCCCGCATCACAAAATGTAGCTCTATATAACTTTAAACTCTATATAACTTTATATAACTTTAAAGCCTATATTTAGCACACACCAATAAACAATGAAAGAATTAATGCAGACTTGATCTTGTCCAGCAATCCCAAATAATGAATTTATTTAATGGGCAAGTTCTTGAAATACAGACTTGCAACCTGCTTTCCAGTGAAAAATCAGTTACTAATCCCAAAAGGAAGAAGATTCCATTCTGTTAGTGGAGTCAGCCTGTGACAGCAGTACCTGGCCAGGCACTGGTCCCCTGAGAAAGCATTAGTCAACACCCAGTCAGAACAGATGTGCTCGTTTCCTACCGAGACAGGTTTAGTACTCAGCAATACAGCCCAGCTGCCTGTAACCACACACCAGCTCAGCCATGGCAGGCGTGCAGCCGGGAGACTGAGCAATACGCTAGTACTGAATGTGGTAAAGTTCCCATAGAGAAGTAAAATAGCACAGAAATTCATACCCTGGCTTCCAGAACTGTGACATCCATTCCAAAACTCTGCAACTGGCGAGCTGCTGCCAACCCAGACACTCCAGAACCAATAATGATCACCTTTCCAGTCTTCTTGGCTAAAGAAAGGGGAAAATGAGCTACAGGTTCTATACACACACTACTACAATTTAAGTGATAACGTTAAAGCTGCATTTAAGAGATACCAAGAACAAAAAGAAGCTTCCTTCTCATCAGTACACAGAACAAACGCTTTAACAAAACAAATAGCCACTAAAAGAAAATTGAAGTAATTATGTACATAATATGATAACAGTGAAACACATTACAATTAATGAGACAGGTAGAAGAAAAATACACCAAGAGTGCATCTGTGACAAGGAAGAAAACAGGAAGAAAAATACTTCTGTAGGAAAATTGTTTGAAGAAACTGAATCTTATTAATTACAGTGGGACAAAGCATCATAGTTTTATTTCTTCCTGCCCCAGAAGAATAAAACCTAGAAAGGACAGACGACTTCAGCAGCTGTAAAATTCAAGCATCATATAAGTACATAACAGATGTAAGTACAGCATTGTTTCTGTCTTTTGTTATTCAAATGAGGAATGATAACTCATTAAACAGTGACAGCCATCAAATTATCTACAGAAGATTTGCAAGCTTTTTCCCTCTCAAAGTGATTTACCTCAATAGATGGCTTCTCCATGCCAAAATAAAACACATGAACATCTATAGCCAGAAGGCTTTTCCGCCTTTATTTATTTTCTTGGCATCACAATCCTAAGAGAAGCACTCAGAAATTTGTCCTAACAAATCACCAAACAATAAAACAAAACTCCAATTAGAAACGAGTTTCAAGTTTCTTACTTGGAAGGGGCTTCACTCTTTTGTAGATACCAAAGTTGATTAGACCATGCCGTTCCAGATAGCTGTGTACTCTGTGAACAAGCACCGTATCACCTGAAAAATTGTATATGGTTTAAAATTATTCTGTTTGTTTGGCAGCATGTATGTACTGAAAACATTCACAAGCAAATGTGTCCCAGCAGCAACCCAGCCAAGTCACACAGAACACTTCCCTTTCTGCACCCCCAGTTGCCCTGCTGAAGAATTCACCTTCTTGAAGAAGGGTGAGGTTAAAGCTTTCTGCTGTTTTCTATGCTATGCTGCAGTTTTGAACACTGTCCAAAAAGCTCTACAGGACATTAAATGCTTCTATTTATTAAGTGCAGAAGTCTGAAACTGACTGCAGAAATATGGAGATCTTTACCCAGAACTGCAATGCAATTTGCCAGTATTAAGCCAACCCATTACCAGAGCACTGAATTATCATTTTTATTTTTATAAACACAATAATTCAGTATTTTGCAACACTTGACAGTGTATCTGCGTTCATTTCAGCATTACATTCTTCTTTAATTACTCTTTCTCTGTGGCTCCCCTCCACCCTTTTTCAGTTTATTAGAATTTTTTCTGAGAAGGGAGGAATGGCCTACATTTGTGAGCAGTACCTCCTCGCTCTTTTCACTGCCTCCTTCCCTCACAGCCACTCTGGTCAAGTCTTATGCAACTTTTTAATGCCTCCCAGATACCTTACAATTAAGAACATCTCACAACTGCAAGCCACCAAAAAGGCACAGCAAACCTTAAAAGCTGCATGTGAATTCACTTACAGGAAACTTCTTTAACAAGCCATCTTTTTACCAGCTTTTTTGAAGTCTACTAGGGATATATTTCTTTACCAAATGAACCTGACAAATCTGAAACATGAGCATACTGCAATATGCCACTCTGTACAGGAACAGTCACGGAGCTGCACTAACAAAAGGACCCATCTGAAGTCCACTCTTGATTCTAAGCAGCCTTTCCCCAACCAATACTGAAAAAGAATATCAATGATACGCACAGTATGGTTTTGGCAGAGAAGACTTGACTTACTATTATAAGGTGCTTCTAATTGTTGGATAGTTGCCTCAAATGTCAACTGAATCTTTGGGTTATCCAACCAGAGCTGCAGCTGCATTTAAACAAACAATAAGACATATTATATTAAGTAATACAAAGGAGGTGTTTTCCATGTGCATGTTTGTTACCAAATACTGTCAGGACATGAAATCCTCTAAGGAGTTCAGCTTCAGCAGTGCTATCCAAGCCACAGTGAACTTCGCCTTCCAGTGCTCTTTAAGGTGCAATACACTCAATTTTAACTTCCTACACCATTTCAAATAAGTGGAAATGCATCAAGTTAACAATCTCCTAATCGCATATACAAGAAAACATACACAGAAAGAACAAAAGCTGCAAAATGGAAGCACCAGAATGCTTACATGTACAGCCTTCCTTCCACCTGCACAGTGTCATATGAGCGATATTTTAATTGCGCACGAACATCAGCCAGCATCCCATTTTTTGGCATCAAGTTTCACATTAATTTTGTAAAAGCTAAAGAACTTCCCAGCTGGAAGAGTGCAAAGCACACAATCTGCATTTTTATATATAAATCTCTCTATATGTATATATACAATTACTTCCATTATTCACATTAGCTTGCTTTTATTTACAATTAATTTAATCTGCTATGTGATAACCCAGTTACTCATAAGAGTCTTCATCTTTTGCGGTTTTTTAAGTCCCCGTTTTACTACCTAAAGTAACTTAGTATGTGCAGCAAATGACCATTTCTTTACAAATTCTAATTTTTAGACCCTCTATGAATACACTGAACATCAGAGGCCTTAAAAGATTTTAAAGGCTTCAAACCACAACTGCCCTGGCACTGCCACAACGGATCATTTACCCTACATTCTTACATTGTTTTGTAAATTTTAATGATCTGCTTTAACCAACAGGAATTTAGCAAGAGCTTTTACTGTTTTCTGTGCTTTTTTCATTGATTGGTTGGTTGGATTTTTTGTTTTGGGGTGGGGAGGGTTCACATAGAAGATCACACAAAGTGGATCTCCTTTGTTCACCTTCTCATGAGTCCTTCACAGAACTCATATGGACTGTAAAGGATGACTTCCATTTAAAAAAGCTACTGTGAGTCTTCCAAAATACGTCTTTACTTACCAGGTCATTCATTCAATTCTTGATTCCATTTGTTACCAGGTAAACTGGAAATATCAGACTTAGTAGTCTAACTCCTTTACCCTCCAGGAACTATGGGTGTTCATGCCCTCTTTGGTACTTCTCAAATCCCTTGGTACCGTGTGTGGTGGTGTGCTCTCCCTGGTTTTCCCTCTTCCCCCTGATCCCCGTACCAGGGTCCTGCTCGGGCCACGGTCATCATGGCCATCACAACATCAGTTGCAACAAGTTGCATCTGGACATTGGGGGATGGCTGGCAACACAGCCAAAACACTGTCTGAAGTGGGGACCTAGACATTTTGTTCCCAAGAGAATATGACTATAGGTCAATCATCTCACTCTATAAACTGTGGACAGCCCAAGAGCTCTTGGAGCTCTCCTGTATGGCAGCGGGCTGCACACCACGATCTCCCCTGTTGTGAGGACACTCGCTTAAGGTTCTACTCCTCAAGGTTGAGAGATTCCTTGCCACAGCAGATTCTCAGTGAGTAATAGCATGCTAAACTTTGATATCTTAGCTAAGTAATATAAGGGGTTGATTGTGCAGATATAATCCTTTAGGCATAAACCATTGACCAAGTCTGGGACGAGGATTGGATCAAGCTGCACCAAGACTCCCCTCTGGGAAGGCGTTTAGAAAGCCAGGGGGTCCTTTCTGAACCTCGTGACTCAACAGGAGGGTCTCCCTGACAGTGTGTCTGACCCTGTCCTCTCTGTAGTTAACAATTGAGTGTGCCTTGCCATCAAATCACATAAAACAATATCGCATTTACTACTGGTTTTATCACAATTACTACTGATTTTGTTAAATCACTGTTTCACCTTAATAAATATTTCACTACTACTCTCTTATGAGCAAAGTTAATCGCTCTGCCCCCGACTCCATGTCAGCTCTAAGTAAGAGGATGCACACTGCAGTTCACAGCTCCTCCAGAGCTCTGCTGAGCACTGCGTTTATATCACCATTTGCTTCATCTGCTGTTCTAGAACCTCTGCTATCCTAACCAGGGGAGACCAGAGAACTATAGGAAGGTCAAAAATTAGACGGGACCTTGAAGATAACCTTGTTCCAACTCCCCTGCCACAGGCAGGGACACCTCCTACTAGAACAGGTTACTAAAAGTCCTAAAGAACCTCTCACAAGTCTTCCTCAGAAAGGGATTCCCACTTAGGAACTTCTCTGAGTTCCTCCCTTACAAACAGGGACTGAAGACCAACACCACAGCTTTTTGTAGTGCAGCCCTGCAAATACCCCTTCCAAGCATTTCTTTAAATCCCAGTCATTGATTAGTTTCAGTGGAAGGCTTTTCCGATTCTAATGAGTTCGTAAAAGGATAACTCACCATAAATTTTCAGCAAGCTGTCTTTCAAGCTTTTGGGCTTGCCTTGGTCCGGTTTTATACATCTCACGACTTCCCAGAAGTTACAATTTAGGTGAATTAGAGGGAGATTTCACAGGAATAAGAAAAGTATTGCTCATAGCATGAAGATGTCCACCATGCATAAATAACTTAAAGAAGTTATTAAGTATTGGTTAATAAAGTGTGATGCCCCTTGATTATAGAATGGTTAGAGTTGGAAGGGACCTTACAGATCATCGAGTTCCAGCCCTTGCCCTGGGCAGGGACACGTCCCACCAGACCAGGTTGCTCAAAGGCCCTCCAACCTGGCCTTGAACCCCTCCAGGAATGGAGCAGCCACAGCTTCTCTGGGCAACCTGACCTAGGGTCTCACCACCCTCACAGCAAAGAATTTCTTCCTGAGATCTCACCTAGATCTCCCTCTTTCAGTTTAAAACCTTTCCCCCTTGTCCTATGGCTCCCCTCCTTGATCAAGGGTCCCTCCCCATCTCTCCTGTAGGCCGCCTTCAGGTACTGGAAGGCCATTACAAGGTTTTCCTGGAGCCTTCGCTTTTCCAGGCTGAACAACCTCAACTCTCTCAGCCTGCTCTCACAGCAGAGGTGCTCAAGCCCTCTGATCATTTTCATGGCCCTCCTCCGGACCCATTCCAACAGGTCCATGTCCTTCCCGTATCGAGGACTCCAGAGCTGGACACAGTACTCCAGGTAGGGTCTCACCAGAGCGGAGCAGAAGGGCAGAATCACCCCCCCTCACACCCTGCTGGCCATGCTTCTGTTGATGCAGCCCAGGATGCAGTTGGCTTTCTGGGCTGTCAGTGCAGATCGCCAGCTCATTTTGAGCTTCTCATCCACCAACACTTTCAAGTCCTTCTCCTCAGGGCTGCTCTCCAGCCATTCTCCACCCAGCCTGGATTTGGGCTTGGGATTGCTGTGGACGGGGGACTGGGACCCAGGTGCAGGACCATGCACTTGGCCTCGCTGAACTTCATGATGTTCACATGGGCCCACCTCTCCAACTTGTCCAGGTCCCTCTGGATGGCATCCCTTCCCTCCAGCATGTTGACTGCACCACACAGCTTGGCGTCATTGACAAACTTGCTGAGGGTGCACTCAATCCCACTGTCCATGTCTCCAACAAAGATGTTGAACTGCACCAGTCCCAGTACTGACCCTGGAGGAATGCCACTCATCACTGGCATCCACTTGGACGTTGAGCCATTGATCGCAACCCTTTGAGTACAGCCATCCAGCCAGTTCCTCATCCATCGAGTGGTCCATCCATCAAATCCATGTTTAGACACCAGAATGACATGTGGGATAGTGTCAAATGCTTTGCATAAGTCCAGGTGGATGACGTCTGTTGCTCTGCCCTTATCTACCAATGCCGTAGCACGTTCATATAAGGCCACCAAATTTGTCAGGCATGATTTGCCTGCGGTGAAGCCATGCTGGCTCCCACCAATCACCTCCTTATTTTTCACATGCCACAGCAGAGCTTCCAGGAGGATCTGCTCCATAATCTTGTTAGGCACAGAGGTGAGAATGACCAGCCTCTACTTCCCCAGGTTTTACTTTTTTCCCCTTTTTGAAAGGGGGGCTTATGTTTCCCCTTTTCCAGTCAGTGGGAACTTCACCAGACTGCCACGACTTCTCAAATGTAATGGAAAGTGGCTTAGCAACTTCATCCACCAGCTCGCTCAGGACCCATGGATGGATTTCATCAGGTCCCATGGACTTATGCACCCTCAAGTTCCCTAGATGGTCTCAAACCTGATCTTCTCCTACAGTGGGCACTTCTTCATTCTCATAGCCCCTGTTTTTGCCTTCCACGACTTGGGTGGTGTGGTTACAGCCCTTGCCAGTGAAGACTGAGGCGAAAAAGTTGTTCAGTAACTCAGCCTTTTCCATATCTCATTTTCTTCTGGAGAGGGCCCATGTCTTCCCTCATCTTGCCTTTATTCCTGACATCCTTAGAGAAGTTTTTCTTGCTATCCTTGATGTTCCTGGTCAGATTTAATTCTATCTGGACTTTAGTATGCCCTGGTTCCTGGCCACTTGGACAGTTTCTCTGTATTCCACCCAGTCTACTCATCCTTGCTTCCACTCTCTGTAGGCCTCCTTTTTGGTTTTGAGCTTATTCAGGACCTCCTTGTTTATCCACGCAGGCCTCCTGGCTTTTTTGCCTGACTACTTCTTTCTTGTGATGCACTGTTCCTGAGCTTGGAGGAGGTGATCCTTGAATACTAACCAGCTTTCTTGGGCCCCTCTCTCCTCCAGTAGTTTTTCCCATACTACCCTGCCAAGCAGGTCTCTCAAGAGGCCAAAGTCCCAAGGATTTTGAATTCTACCATCTTGTGATCACTGCAGCCAAGGCTAACCTTGAGCTTGACATTCCCCACCAGCCCCTCTTTGTTGATAAGGACGAGGTCCAGCATGGCTCCTCTCCACGTTGGCTCCTCTACCATTTGAAGGAGAAAGTTGTCTTTGACACATTTGAAGAACTTCCTGGATTTGTTGTGCCCTGCTATGTTGTCCTTCCAACAGATACTGGAGTGGTTGAAGTCCCCCATGAGGACCAGGGTCTGTTAATGTGATGCTGCTCCTACCTGTCTCTAGAGGGCCTCATCCACCCTATCACCCTGGTCTGGTAGTCTGCAGCAGACCCCTACTGTAAGATCACCTGCCCCTGTGCTCCCTTGTTTTTCCCATACTACCCTGCCAAGCAGGTCTCTCAAGAGGCCAAAGTCCCAAGGATTTTGAATTCTACCATCTTGTGATCACTGCAGCCAAGGCTAACCTTGAGCTTGACATTCCCCACCAGCCCCTCTTTGTTGATAAGGACGAGGTCCAGCATGGCTCCTCTCCACGTTGGCTCCTCTACCATTTGAAGGAGAAAGTTGTCTTTGACACATTTGAAGAACTTCCTGGATTTGTTGTGCCCTGCTATGTTGTCCTTCCAACAGATACTGGAGTGGTTGAAGTCCCCCATGAGGACCAGGGTCTGTTAATGTGATGCTGCTCCTACCTGTCTCTAGAGGGCCTCATCCACCCTATCACCCTGGTCTGGTAGTCTGCAGCAGACCCCTACTGTAAGATCACCTGCCCCTGTGCTCCCTTTAATCTTGACCCATAAGCTCTCCGTTGGGTCTTCAGCCAACCCCAGGTGGAGCTCCATGCACTCCAGCTGTTCATTGAATAGAGGAAAGCACCCCCTCCTCGTCTCTCCCAGCTTGTCCTTCCTGAAGAGTCTGTATCCCTCCATTCCAACACTCCAGTCATAAGAGTGATGGAGATGAATTACTGGCTGGAGTGGCTGCATTTCCTTTGTGCTGCTTTTCAGGTGGCCTTCCTTTGAGGTGTTTTACCTGTGACTTCCCAGGTCCTACTGCCTCAGGAGCCCCTGGCTTGTCCACATAAGACTTTGAGTGTGCTGCAGCATACCCAGCACACCTCAGAGCAACAGGTTGAAGGCCTTTGCTAGTGACCCATCCCTCAGATCTTGGAGTATCTTAAACCTATGAAAAAAACCTGAACGCTGCATATGGGGTTTTCGCTCTTAAAAAGTAATTTTAAAAATATTTCTTGCTTTTCTACTGTTAATTTTTCTAACATGATTTAGGTTTCTAAAACACTCTTTTCTAAATACAGGAAAAAGCCCTGAACCCTGAGGAACTTAAAAGCATTGTCACAATTTAAAAGCATCATCTGCAAGACACCATACCACTGTTTAAGTTTTATTAAGGCTTAAACTTCAGGCATGCTTGTCTGAAGTGAATTACATGAATATTGTCCCTTCTTTGTATATTTTAAGTTGCATGGAAGTTTTGAATTGGGCAGAAACGCTACGAACATTCAGACACAAGAGTTTCATTTCTTCAATGTTATAATTTCTTTTATGAAATCAAAGCTGTCAAAGTTAACTATTTTGCTCTGAGAATATGCCACACGACTGGATTGATATCTCAGTATTACAGCAACTGAATGCTAGGCAAAACTGAGAGGTTCGCCTTATTCTAAGCAATAATATATTTGATTATTATTTCAGTATTCTTAAGAGACTTCTTTAATCTGAGATCAAGTAATAGAACAGTTGCACCAGCTTTCTGATTGCTTCTGTCTTTTTAAAAGCTGTATTAGCCAAATCATGTAACTTTGATGGTTATTATGACTGTGTTTTGGATATTGTACATATACTACAGATTCTTTACGCTGCCTCACAGCATTGCCTCAATCAAACACTGGGTAACACCTTCCTCGGCAATTTAGAGCATGATAGGATGCCAGAAATGAACCTGCAACATCTCAATTAAATAAATAAATAAATAAATAAAATCTTCCAACTGTTAGAGAGAGTAACTGCCAACAAGTCTTTGCATGGTACACAAATGCCCTACCTTTTTTTATCAATACTTTTACAATAAACTTACGGTGCGGTTCCTGATGTACAGAAACACCTTCTGGGTCTGCTGTGGCCCACTGATTATATCAGGGAAGCAGGCAGCTTCTTGAGATGTCATACGGTCATGTGGAAGTCTACTCTGGAAAGCTGCACCCTCCACACCTACAATAAAAAGACAAGTTGTCTACAGGCACTGCAAAAGGAACTGCTAAGTATTTTTACACTACCCTTCCTAGCAAGCACATCTATCCTTGAGATGGTATGGTGGCCAATTCCACGTCATGCTTTCATTTAGTTCTTTTATTTATTTCTGCAAGACATGCAGGTTCCCAAGTCAACAGTTATTTGAACAACAGGTATCATCTAGGGTTAACAAAAAAGCTATACTCCAGGGGTGGGAAAACACAGAAAAGAAACCCACAAAACACCTGTGGGTAAGGGGGGCAGAGGTACATATCAATATAACATATATCATATAACATATTATATATAGCACACACATATATAATATCAATAAAACATAACTGCTTTAGATGCTGTCCTTCATTTGTGTGGTTTCCAGTTTCAATCAGAATATGAGAACATTCTGGAACCCATTCAAAGCCAAAAGATCTATAAAGATCGAAGCACAATACCTACAGTCCCCTCTCACTGGCTCTTCAAGGTTTGCATTTGCACTGAACTCCTCAAGCTAGAGGAACCGCTCCTTTTGTGAATATTTCATATATTCACAACAGCCAGTGCAATAAAATACAATCCTACTTATGCTTTTCCTGTGTCCCTTTCTCAAGTGCTGCCTACAATCAATAACTACAGATTTCTGACTTCTCCTTTTAAAAGCTCTGCATATAAGAAAACACATACTGGAGACATTTTCTCTATGGAAAGACTCCATTCATAAAGGCATCTGTACTTCCATCAATTCAAACACTGGCAGTGCAGTAAAAATACACGTATGTACTCTACATTCCTCAATCTCATTCAAACGTTATACCATATATAAAGTAACAAACTAAGACACAGGTGCATAAAGCGCTACAAGTAGAGTGCAAAAGTGAATCTAGCAGGCACAGCGAGCAAAATGAAATACCGAGAAGTGAAATACAGAAAGAACAATATAGCTCTCATATGTCCCAGGAAGTGACTTAAGATCAGGACAGAGAGAGGAGAGGACATTCAATCTGGAAGCTAATATATCCCAAGGGGAAAAAACCACAAGTAATGCAGTAAGATTAAGATCATTTGCTGAAACTGGAATTGTTCAAAAGATTAGAAAATATAAGCTTGCAGTGTGTTACACTAACCAAGACAACTGTGTGAAACTGGAATTCATGTGCAGAGGTACACACATCTCCGTACCGGGGAAAGGAATTCTCTTCTTTCAACTCTGGTGCAAACACACACACCTTTAACTTCCAAGCATTTTTACATCCCAAAGATGAAGAAAAAAAATGTAAGCAAGGCAAGAGCTGTGAAGCTAACAAAATTCATTCACAAGCAAAGATTAGAAGATCCAACTGTGTGATGACTCGAGGTTAAAAAAAAAAAAAAACCTGTCTATAATAATTTACAGGAATTTTACAAGAGGAAAGTAGTAACAGAGGCTACAGAGCACTGCAAGAAAGTAAAATGAAATTAACAACAGGAAAAGTTGACACACCCACAACACTTCTTGACAGTAATATTCAGCTATGGAATAGAAACCCATAGGTCTGCTAGAACTTCATCTTCTCCAGTAACAGACATCCCCCAGCCCTTCTGCTGTCCTGCAGTCGAAGGAACTTCACTGAACCAACTGTGCAAACATCCACACATAAATGCTATACTATGAATTCTGTAAAACAGTACATGTAAATCAAAGTTACCAATTCTCTGATACTTTATTAATGTTAACAAATCTAAATTAAGGTTCTAGACCATCAAGTGTTAGCACAAAGCCCAGCAGCACAATTTTCAGAGAATGACCAGTTAAACAAGATCTGAAATGCTGAACTTGACTCCCTCTTAGAGGCTTGTGTTAAAATGAGTGTGTCTTCTCCAGATATTTGCTAAAAAGGTTGACTGTCATGCAGTGATCAACTACCAGGAAACTCTCAGACATGTGGATTTACGGCAACTTGCCAGTTTCTTGAAAAGCTCTGTGATTTATTTCTTCAAACTGAGAAGCCAGGGAAGCCAGCCCCTTGGAAAGAATTCCAAGGTGGTTTTTTTGTTGTCTTTTTTAAGGCCATATGTTTTCTATGGCAATATCTGAACTTTAAAATGTCAAAATAGCTCCAGATGAGCACTGGCATTTAGAAAAAAAAGACCGCAATAAGGTTTGACACCAGAATTTAGAAAAAGCGGAACATATCAGCAAAGATACCATTTTTTTTGGCCCAACCACTCGAAGATCTTATAAGAACTAAATGTCCTTAAATCTACTTTTGCAACTACACAACTCAAAGTTAAATGCATTTCAGGCTGATTTAATTTCCCCCATCCCATACCCTTGCTGCTTGTGTTTCATGAAACCAACACATTAAAGGGAGTACCACTTCAGAACTACACACACTTTCCTTGGGGAGGGCAACTCTTTAGTGACTGTAGGAACGGTTCTGCCTAGAATGGATTCTCATCTCCTCTTCACAGTTTCACACACACACCTGCCATTTCCTGACATTCAGCTTCAGTAACTAATGTGAAGTTTTCATTATCATCTCCCTCACAGAAGAAATCTTGAGGAATGCTACTCCTCTAAAGACTTACCAAAACATCTGCAGATGAAAAACACTCTAAAGGAATGTTATTTGGCTGCTGAATCAGACAATTGATAAAGCATACCCTCAGCATACATACATATATATACATGTAAAATGCAAAATATGTAGAATTTCCAAACAGCCAATGTCTGCCTAAAAATTAAACAGGCAATGCATCCTCAAGCCCATAATCTCAAGTAGTCAGAAATTCTATGCAGGTGGTAAGATCCAAAACATAACTACGCTCCTTCTCTCAGAACAGCAGGGATACACCCTCAGATGAATATCTTGAAGTTGTACTTTCTTCAAAAAGATCAGCTTGGAGGTAGAGAATAAGTTCTGGAGCCTTCAACTTAAAACCCTAATCCTCAAGTGAGAGTGAAAGTGGCCAAGTTGGTGGAAGATTTTCAGTAGCACTCTAAGTTCTTAAGAGTAAAGACACCAATTCTGTGAATTAATCGGTAAGTGCATACTGCTAGCATCAGTATTTCGGTCAAATGGTAAATGCAATTCACAACCCAGTCCACTGAGGAGCAGACTAAGAATCTCCCCAACAGATAGATCTCCTGGCCTAACCACTGGCACACAGCTCAAACACAAACCCTTTCAAAAGGAAAAGCAAAAACAAAGGAGCAGAAAGGCACTCCACGCTATTTTTCAAGCAAATTAGTAAAAAGGTCAACTGTGCTGAAGCCCAGGGCTTCCTGTGTCATTCCAGGTGGTAGGAACTGGCTATGTAAGAGTATCTTTTTGCACATTTGGACTCCTCTAAACATGGAGAGGAGTGGAGGGATGAGAGATCGGCCTGAGGCATTTCGACATAGGTCAGCATCCTTTTCCATGGTTGGTACAGACCTCAACTGACATTTGAAAATACCCCTCACTTTTTACCAGATGGGTAGACAACTCCTGTTTCTCTGTCTAAGTTCTGAACAAGCACACCCATGCGCACTCGCAAGCATCAATGCCTAACTTGGCGGCTCTTGCTACTAAGTGGCAAGCATCAAACGCCACCCTCACCTGATGCTTGGCCGTCTCCATACCCTCCAGAATTGTCGTCTTGAAGTCCTCCTGCTTGCCCTGTGGAAGGAAAGAGGAGAACTCAGGGACCTTACTCCATAAGTTAAACCATACTGGACATAAAGGCCCGGCAGTTGGCGTTTTAGGTATTAAATTTCACCAACTAACTAAACCCGTTTTCTGAGAATCATCCCATCTTCTGGAACCTAGGTCCAGGGCACCAAACTCTGTGGTCTTCTAAAGTGTCATCCATGTCACTGGAACACTTTACATCAGACTTTATGGGAAATAAAGAAGTACACAATATGTAGCATTCCTGGTGGCTAAATACTTATGATCAACTTCATTAATGGCTAGGATTTGAATAACAAGATTACATTTCTTACTGCCGAGATCTGGTGGATGGACACCATCAGATTCTATGGTTCTCAAGCCATAAGAATTTTGTAATCTTGCCCTTGGTACTCCTGAGTCTCTCCATATGCAAGGGGATAGATTGAACCATTCTGAAAGGCCTCTAACTTTCAAGAGAGCCTATTTTTTTTTTTTTTTTTGCCATAAACCCTTCCTTGATGATGGAACCTTTTTTGAAAGGCTCAGACCACTTATTTTGGCTTCACCACCTTGATACACCAACAACCTTCTAACACACTAAGAAGACACCTTGAATCCAAGTACATGTCAATACCACTGATTGGTAATGTGATCAATACCCAGCACTGAAAGACATCAGTCTTTAAATGTATCCAGGGCTGGAAACGTAAGGAAAGGCAAAGCACTCATCTGAATCTAAGTCCTAAATAGCAGCCTTGACAGGACTGCAATACAACCAGGAACAGAGCATTTCTAAAACAGAGATGAGTACAGCTATGATATCTGCAGGAACGAAGCTAATATACAGGTCACCTCACACGCTGCTAATCTTCAGAGGAGATGCCAGCTGCCAGTTTAGCTCATACACGATATTCTTACACAGTCAGAAGCCTGACTAAAGTCTGGTCTCCTCCAGAGAACAGGAAGCCATGGAACACTACAGAGACGGCCGAGCACTGTTTGGCTGGTCGCTCCTCTGCCACGGCTCCTGCAAACCAAGTGCTTCAATGGTCAGCAAATTGGGTGTTTTCTAAAGTCTTCACTGAAAGTAACTGCTGAAGTCAAGGTAGCAAATAGAACAGTCACTTCCTAGAGCACAACGGCTCAGGTGTCATCTCCAAACAGGTAAGAGTAAGGTCTAACCTGAGGCCAACACACAATTGTTAAGATTACTCTTCACAGTTTGGGGCTCGGTGGACAATCTTGCCAGAACCTAATTTGAGGCTTAAAAAAATTTCATCTGAACTACAAATTTAACGCCTGAAGCAAGACACAGAAAGTGAACCAAACATTTGCATACTTTAATAACCTGAATTAGCATCTGGAATGCTGTAACATTACATATCTACAGATAAAATAAAATAGGAACTGAAATAAGACCGACATTTTCACTCAGCTACAGTAGAGGAGCAATAGGCAGTACTTTTATATAATCAGCAGGGAAGTTCAGGAACTCACAAGAGACTGTGACAAATAATTGTATTTTGACAGGCCCCAGAAGTCCCAAAGCTGGATTTCTATGAATTAATGAATCTGCAACAGCAAGAGAAAATTCCTCACTTCACCTACACTGTAAGTACATTATATTGCTGGGAAGATTACAAGACCTGCTTCCATTCTGAGAGACTCACACAACTCAAACATTACTACTTACGGTCCAGCATAGGCCATTAACTTGCAGGCGAAGTTACACTTCTGCCTTCCAGAAGTTAAGAAATTGAAAGGATGCTGACATCAACCCGTGGCACTTGTTATCCCTGAATCAGAACTGACAATAAGTAGAGGGGGCAAAATTGCTCTCGGTTTATTTATAAAAAGAAATCAATATTTTCCTCTCTGTTAATAACAGATAAACAATTTTCAATGTTAGGTCAAAAAAAAGTATCACTATTAAAGCTTGCTCAGACACAATTCTAAACGCTACCCGGTCAGAGTACGGAAGTGTGAAAACAAGGACTGCTTGTAGAGATTGCCTCTCCTTCCCCAAAAGAAAGCCATGTTCCAGCTGCTAACGAAGAAAGCAAGAAGCAAACTGCTGCTCCATGTTAACATCAAATTACTGCAGCCGGACACAACATGTGCAGGAGCAGAACCTGCTGAAAGTCTCAAGGCAACAGAATAATGGACCATGAGCTGAACAGCAATCAGGAAGAAGGTCTACAAAGGAGTCCACTTCGTGCAATCGCCCAGTGTCTTAAAGTAAAGACCAGCAGCACAGAGTTACTACTGAGTATTGAATTTTATTAGGAAAACAGACAAGTCAGATGAAAGACAGACACAGAACACAAATAAATTTGACTATTCACTTGATGTTAATCTGGCTCTTATTCAGTCTCACACGTCCTTGGAAAGCAGCAGCCAGAAACACAAAATTACCACAAAGTAAGAATACTGATATAACTAAAGAGACAGGAGTTGATAAAGAACATCTTCAGGAAGCTATAAAAATGAAAATTCAATTTGAGGGCAAACAGATAAGATCCTTAGAAGAAAAAAACAAAAGAAGCAAGCTCCTTAATTTCAAAAGGGATATTGGAAACAAAAACACAAATGAAAGTGAGCCTGCAGGGTTTCTGCTCCCAGACAGTATTTCTCAAGTGAAAAAGAGGAGAGAATCTTTAAGGAAATTATCTTAATGATTAAATACTGTTGCACCTATTAAACTGCTTTGCAATAACGTGGTAATCTTGCAAATCCAGACTATAACAATCTACATGGCCAAAATACCTGGAATTCCCCACAGCTGAACATCTTAATGGAGTCCATCCCATGTAAGACCACCATTTTGCTGTCACCTGAAGTGTGATACTTAATGACCTCCTCCTACTGTCAACTGTCTGCAAGGGCAGACTAATGAAATACCAGCTACTGTCACTATTACGTTTTTAAGTTTGCAAAATTAGGCTTTTCAATATAAAAGGTCATAATCTGTAACATGACAGCTCTACACCTCTACTGCATTACCAGTGTGTTTGCAGGTTTTGAACATACAAAGGAAATAATTAAGGTCTGCAATGAGAATAAATTAACAGTAACACACAAGCTAACCTTTTGTATTTTCCTATGTTTTCAATACGCAATGTTGCTCTAGTATTACTGTCCTATTTAGTATTTCTTATTGAATACTCATCTTTTTGCTTCAAAGAAGTGACATAAAGAGAAAACCACAATTATAAACATCGCTTCTATATACAGCAGACTCCATGCCTCTTCCTGCTAGTAGCTGTTTGAATTGGAAGTTTCAATGCACTTTAACAGCCAGCATGAGACGACCTGATTCTCCTGACACCTGCATTAATAAAAACAAAAACACACAGCTCCACCAATGTATATAGTTTCAGAAGCCTTTAAAAATAAGCAAGACTAGCTATAGAATGACAACTGAAAATTTATCATCCTACATCACTGCTTTGTGCATATCACAGGATTTCTAGCAATGGAGAAAAGATACGATGACCTGAAATTAACTTATTTCTAGACAGCTAGATACAGCCTGGCTGAAAGTTGGTTTTATTTAGAATCATAGAAGGGCTTGGGTTGGAAGATCACCTAGTTCCAATCCCCCTGCCATGGACAGAGACAACGATTTACATTGCATTTAGACAACCAAATATAGTGTTTGCAGAATAATTGCTTAACAGGTTGTTATGTGTATAGAATAGCGTGTGTCTATCACTGCATACCTTCCACATTTCTTCCATCATGAGATAAAACACTGTGCTTCACTGATTAATGCCTCAGACTGATTTCAATAATCATTCTTAGAGGCATAAAATGGCATCTGAGAAATATCAGAAGAGTATTAATATTATGTTCCAAGGATTAAACCTAAAGTCTAAGATAAATTAAATTATAAACTTGAGATACTTGCTGAATTACAACTATTAAAATTCCATTTTTGATAGACCATGTACAACTATGGGCAGGAAGGATTTTTACCATTGCAAATATTTCAGTCAAGTGTTTGAGCTATAGTATTCCTGTATCAAGCCAGGAGTCAACAAGTCACAACTGAAGAGAGATCACAGGGTAAATCCTAAGAGATATAACACAATTGTGGCTTTTAATATATTTTCTGAAACGGAAGGTAAGTATCCCCAAACTGACATCAGTCCTATTATATACATTCTCAAACCTGCCAGCCAAAAACAAGCCAGTTAAAAGCAGCAGAACTGAAGACTAAGTTATTCACATCAGTGGTGAACCAGCAAAAGTTCAACTACTAGATTTCAACTATTGCCTAGGACCAACCAGCACATGTGTTGTATCATGGAAACTAACCTTTGCAAAAGCATGATTTTGCAGATAGAGTGAAATACCAACACTGATCTAGGTCATGGTGGTAGCTGTAAACGCAAGAGGTAAAGAATGGGTAGAGTACTGCTAATACTGTAAATTTCAAAAGCTGCTTCCTGAACAAGACTGACTAAAAATCTTTCCAATGTAAAGTGAAGCTTTACAACTCTGTCAAATGTAATAAGGAAAGCACTGAAGTTTAAGAAAATAGTATCCAACCAGAACTTAAGATTAGAATCATAGTTTAAAGCCACAGCAATCACTGTAGATTAAATCTGTTCTCCTGCATAGCAACCCCCCCAAGTAAATTTAACCTTTTCTCTCAGAGGAGTAAGTGAAAGTTGGTACAGGAGCAGGCGTGGCAAAGAGGCTATTCTGATCAATAAGCTTCCAAAGACAAGTCAATAAGGATCATGAGAATCCGGTATGAGAGATTTGGCCCCATTTGGAATTAGATCATGCACATTCATATCTTTATCAGGCTGCTCTTCTGCATTTTTCCCCTCCTTCCACATATGGGGGCAGCAAAGAAAGCACTGCTGAAAAATCATTCAAAACCAGATACAGGATTCATGATGCTGCACCTGACCCCACTTAATTTCTGGCAATAAAACAGGTAAGTAGTGTCAGAGGAGAAGGTCTCTCTTTACTCACCAGACGGCTCCTCTGGCTCACTTTCATTCTCCTCTTCTGCAGGAGCTGGTGGAGGCGGTGGTGGTAGTTTTTTCTCTTTCTCAGCTTTAGCATTTCTCTCTTCTTCAGAGTAATACTCATCTTCTGACAGGTTTGCAAGGCTCTCATCCATCTCTCTATACTCCACCTGTAAAAAGCAGAACAAAGGATAACCAAACTGAAGATGTCTGTAAGTCTCACTACTAAAAAGAACATTGCAAGCAACAAAATTGCTTAAAGCTCAAAGAAAAGACCCAAGTTACCTTGTCCAGAGTCTTATTACAGCTATCATGTTATAAAAATCTTCAGCAGCTTAACAAGTTCCACATGTTTTTACCTCCACTAAAAAAAAAAAAAAGTCTTCAGCCCACAAGTGTCTGATAGTAGGAACTTTCTACTCACATCGAGCCCAGACTATGTGTATTTGTTATATCATCATTTAACCTCTCTAGTTTCCTTCCCTTCCTTCATCTCCCTGTCAAACTCAAGAATAACAAATTAACTCTATGTCCAATCGCTATGTTCCAACTTGAATTATCTGTCAAACAAAAGTGACCAGAATTGTACACAAGATTTCATCTTGCCCTGGTACAGAGGATCATGTCTGCCTCCTCTCCAGGATGGTCACACAAGGAAAAGAATGCTCAATGCAATGAAACAAAAAATAAAAAATACCTTTAGTGCCATACATGTTTTGTTCTGTTCTCCAGTAAAAATAAACAGTATTACTAGCTAAAAAAGACCTGTTCCAATTTAAATAACATGGAAACCCCAAGAAATAACATAGAAGGGACGCATCTCTTCTGTTTAATCATCCTGTTTAATAAATCAAGCTTTTTTCCCCAAGTAAGAAAGCTTTGTATATTGCTAGTTAATTTCCCTACTGATTGGAAAGGCAAAAAGCACTTCTCACAATATGCAGCCATGAGAAAAACAAAAAGAAAGCTAAGTGACCTCCAACACCCTACAGGTCAGCTTCTACCATGAGATGACAAAAACAACTCTGCGTTTCTCATCAAAATTATGAGATCTTTCACTGTTCGGTCATTAAGAGATGGTATCAATGAGCACAACTCAAAGTAGCACTGGAAAACCCATGCACAGGAAAGCCTAAATTCAGTGAAACGCTAACACACTCCATGATCTGCTACCTTTCAAATATTTACATTTCACTCCATCCAGCACATTCAGTTTTTCACACTGTTGAGCAGATGTTGCACCACCAGGATCTTTTTATGAACTCCCGCTCTTAAGCAAGTTACAATGATCTCACAGCATCACAAGTATACATCACACCTATTTGAAATCAACACAAACTAGTTCTACCCTAAGGCCCTCTGAAGTCTCCCATCCTCCTTGAGCTCACACATCTTTCAGAGAATAATCAAGTCCAATAAAAAACTAAGCTTTTCTCTAGGTTTATTTTTAAACTGGATATCCTCCCTGACTGAGTTCACACCACAAACATTCACAATAACGTGACCCTGTGCTAGCCTGAAGCGATGGTGGGGATATACTGTGTTAGAGAGATTAATGCCCTCAGCAAATGGGTACTGTCAATGTGCAGGAACATCACTGAAATATAACCCACAGACAGTGCACTAATTCCCACCTTTTAAGAGATCACCACAAAGCAAGGAAACCCCAGATATGCTGCAGAAGATGACAGAATGGTTTGGGTTGGGAAGGACCTTTAAAGCCCATCCACTGCCTCCCCCTGCCCTGGGCAGGGACACCTCCCACCAGACCAGGTTGCTCCTCCAACCTGGCCTTGAACCCCTCCAGGGATGGGGCAGCCACAGCTTCTCTGGGCAACCCGGGCCAGGCTCTCACCACCCTCACAGTGAAAAATTTCTTCCTTATGTCCAATCTACATCTACCCTCTTTCAGTTTAACAGATGCACTGGATTGACCTACACAACAGTTCCAATATGCAAAGGACAAGCCCAGCTATCATATCACATAAAAGCCCTGAAGAGCAAGATATTCAATGCCACAGCAACAGTACAACAGAATTCCTAGAAGTAATTTCAGCTTCCGTATCAAACACACCTGGCTTTAGGCACAGCCACAATCTTCAAAGTCTTCTGCAACCAGGTTCCCAAGAAAAAGTTTCACAAAAAAAGACAATGTTCTCATATTTTCAGAATAAAATATAAGAATTATATGCCACAGGCCTAAATTATTAGAAACTGTTTATGGCCTCTATGTGTCATGTTTATTGCATTGCTAAATCTCACCCTTAATACAGCATTTGCTCAACTCTCCTACACAAGCTGAGGAAAGCTGAAGAACAGTGGACTGAGTGGGCTCATGGAAATAGAAATCATAAGAACTCCAATGCAATGCTAGGGTGGTTTTGTGGGATTTTTTTTACCGCTAGGTATCTGACCAGGAAGCCCTCCAAAGTCCCGAGGCCACTACAGACTGCTCTCTTTTAAGAAAGTGCACGAGTTCTCCCCATAACTGATGAGGATGAGCTGTGAGGATAAGAGACCTTAATCCACATCAGCTTCCTGCGCCTCTGCGTGTTTATCCTGGTGGAGGACTCGCTTCCCCGGGGCAGCACCCGCACCCCACATACCAGCGCCGCCCGGAAAAGGCTGATCGGGCCGGAGACCCTGCTCAGCCTCGCGGCCCTCTCCCGAGAAGCCGTTCTGAGCAGGGCCGGGCCCGGCAGCCCAAGGGCCGGAGAACGTCCCGCTCGAGGCCGCGGCGCCCGCCTGACCCCCACTCCGACCGCGGCTCCTGGCCGGCGGGGCCGGGCCCGGAGCCCGAGCCCGCCCCACACCTACTTTGGCCCGCTTGCGGCGGCTGGTCCTGCGACCCTCGGGGGTCTCGGCGATGCCGGTAGTTTCCGCGCCGGGCGCGGGGGCGGTGCCGGCGGCCGACGGCTCGGACAGACCGCCTGGGGGCGAGGCCCGCGGCGGCTCCTTCTTGCGGGGAGTGCGCTCCGCAGCCCCCCCGCTCTCAGCCGAGGAGCCCAGGGCCCCCGCGGCGGCGGGCGGAGGCACCGGCGTCTCAGGCCCGCCCTCACCGCCCGCCGCCGCCTCTGCGGCCTTCTTCCCCCCCGACAGCATCGCCCC